TTAGCTGAGGGAGGGCTGGAGGCGGCTGCATTCCGACTCACAGACTGGAACATTTCTGTGATCCACTGTAATGCACTGGGGGACACTGGGCACATTGCTGAAGTTTGACTCATAGGGACGGGCGGGAGGGGGTGCAAAGGGGGGTCATTGTGGAGGGAGAGGAGTGGAAGAGAGGAAGAGGAGAGGATGGAAGGAAATCCCTTGAGAAATGTCTTTGAAAAAAGAAAACTTTCAAAAACTGCACCACCCCCACCCCCTTTTTTTCTTTTAATAGGAACAGGCTGGACCCTTCAGCTCCCCTCGGCAGGCATGGGGGGGTTGCCACTGGGGTTGGACTGGGCAGTGATTCAAATCAGATCCTGAAGCGTTCCTGAGGCGAGTCCTGCTTGTGTGTGTGTGTGAGAGGGGTGGAACGGGGCGGGGGTGTCGTCTGGGATGCCTTGCTTGGGACCCTAAGCGTGTTCTGTGCCTCTGTATGGTGCAGCTCTCTTCTGGTAAACTTCCTATGTGCGTAGATGTGTGCACCGGAGTCCTTCCCCGAGGTGTAAATCACCCCGGCCTGTGTAAACATGGATGCACGCTCGTGTACGCTGTGTATGCACGGGTGCGTGCACTCAGGTATCTGGGTTTCCGGGAATTGTGCGCTGGGCGCAGCGCCGCGCGGCGGCCGGGGCTCGGCGGCCGCGCGCGGGTCCGGCAGCGTCCCGCGTTCCGGGTTCGGCGCTGCTTCCCGGGGCGGTGTGCCGCGCCCCACCGCGATCGGTGTCTGCCGCCAGCCTGTGTGCGGCTGAGCAAAGCCTGCCGGGGTGGTGTGTCCCAGGGCCGCGAGCGCCGGCCCCCCCCCCCCTCTCCCTCCCCTCCCCCTTGGCCCGCTCTCAGACTCAGATAAAGCATTTCCTTCCATTGTCATCCTACCCGGCCGGCCAGGCTGCCAGGGCCCTCCCCCTCCCGGCCCCCTCCCTTCCTCTCGCCGTCTCACAGTCGCTCTGCAGCCTCCGGCGACCGGGGGGGATGTGAGGCCGGCGGCGCCCCGGCCCCCCGCCCGCCATGAGCCCCCGGCTCTGAGGGCCCCGGCCCCTGGATGCACAGCCCCGGCGCGGGTGAGTACCGGGCGGCCGCCCCCGCCCCGCCCGCCCCGCCCTGCGCGCGGCACCCTGCGCCGCCCGCCCCGGGCTCCGGCAGCAGCGGCTGCGGCTGGGGCTCCGGCTGGTCCGGCTGGCCGGGTCCTCCGTGCGCGCCCGACCGCGCCCGCTCGGCGGTGCTTTGGCCCGCTCCGGGGCCCGGGGCTGGTTCCGGGGCCAGAGAACTCCGGCCTCCTGCGGGGTGCTCACATCCGCCTGCTCCGGGGCAGCGACAGGCCCCGGGGAGACTGTGGGAGGCCCGGGGCCGCCTGTGCATGGGCCGGGCGTCCCTTCACTCTCCTCCCGGGAATCCGGGAGGCACGGACGGCCGCCGAGGCCCGGGGAGGAGGCGGTGCTCCGTGGCGGAAGGTTTGGAAGCGGGAGGGCAAATGGTAGGACCCACTGAACTGCGGCCGGATTTGTGGGGCTGGACCTCAGCGCCCCCATCTCGCGTAGCTGGGCCGGGCCCTCCTTAGATCCAGTGGCCCGGGAAAACGACCCCTGGAGGGGTATTAGGCTGGGAGATTTCTCTGAGCATCAACCCTTAGCCTTGATCACCCATCGGAGTAAAGAGACACCTGTGCCCAACTGAGCTGTGAGGGTAGCACCCTGGAAGGTGTAGGAAAGTGAGGGCTGCGGGCTGTACACTGAGCGGTGGGAAGGTGGGAAGCTGAATGTGTGGCCCCCGGGTCTGTTAGTGCTGAGAACCGGGGCAAATCTGGCAGCTGAGCTGTCTTTCCACTACCACAAGTTCTCGGCCAGTAAGTTGGACGAAAACCTGGGTCCTGCAGGTCACTGAAGTGTGCCCCACTTCCTTCCCCACTGGCTGCCAGTTTGGGGCCCTTAACTGTCCTTGCTGGCTGTCCAGTATTCCCCAAAGCCTCCTGCATCTGGCGTTGGCTGGCTTGCTGCTTGCTGCTTAACGATCCCTTCCCACATCCCAACTCAGCATCTGCTCGAGGCCCAGCTCTGCCTGCCAATTTTCAGGGTGATAATAGGACATTGGCCCTCGGTGGCCCTGATGGGAGCGTGACTTCTGGAATCAGGAGAGAGTGCCCCAGACTTTTGCATAGACTTGTGGGACTTTGCTCAAATTCCTTGCCCCAGCCATTGGAGACCATGACTCTGCTTGGTTCCTCCCCTCTAACTTGTACTTAGGTGCCCCATTTCTTCCCAAGAGACTCCGGTAGGCTGCCATACATGCCTCCCCTCTATGCCAACCCTCTCCCACCTTCCCCGCCTCTTCTCCAGCCCCTGCTGATCATCCCTCCACTTTCCACCTCCTTGCTCCCTCATTTCCTTGACATCTCTGCTCAGTAACCAAGTCATTTTCTTCCTTACAGTCACTCCTGAGGGAAACTGAGGCACAAAGGGGTTCCACAGTGTGGTACCCAGATAAGGGAGGTTGGACCAAGTCCTGGACCCGCTGGGACTCGGGCTGGTCCTGGTCCCTCTGCCTTGAGTCCTCTGGTGTCCCTCCCAAGCTAGGAGCTCGGAGGAGCTGTGCTTTGGAAAGGTTGGGAACTGTGCACCTGAACTCTCTGTCACTCAGTCCGGCCCCTTGGGGGGGTATGTCTCTGCGTATCAGGGGCATAAGCTGAGATTTTGAGGCGGAGAAGGTTTTGCACCTAAACTGGTCACCCCACTTAAGCTCACTCTCCCCACAACTGACATCAAGCAGCGGGGATCCTAAGTCCCCTTTCCAGAGCTTGGAACCAGAGAGACTAACCCCAAATATCCAGTCAGTGTTCAGTAGGGAGTAGGGAGACAGGTGGGGAGTATTATGTCCTGGCTGTCACTTGTGGTGCCTGGTGGCTTAGTTGGGATGGGATGGGGAATGAGGACCCTTTCGTAGCTGTAGGCACACTTCCCAGGACTGGGGATATGAAAACCTGTGAAGCCCATCATCTCTTCTCTGCTTCCTTTCCTCCTGGCCTTCCTTTGGGAGCCAGTAGTTCGAAGCTGGTGGAGGCCTGAGAGAAAGATGAGCTGAAGCAAGACCCAGGGTCACCCAGCCAGGGGAATGGCACCAACCAGACCTTCTGCCTCTGCCAGGGCCCATTCTTGCCCAAACTCTTCCGTAGTGAGATGTGGTCTGGAGCCTCCAGAGGAGTATGGGGTATTGCAAGGCTTGAGGGCATGCCCCCCTGGCGGCGCCAGCTCCACGACTACACATTTGTATATGTTGGATTTGTTCGCTAGATGGGGCACTTCCTCTGGGGCAGGAAGCCTTGATTTCCTGTGTTGGGGGAGTAGAGACTAGGAGTGGGGGGCCCACGGGGCCATCCCTCATGTTGTTTGGAACCTCAGAAGGGCAGAGCTTTTGCTGGAGGCCGTTTCCCTAGTCCAGGGGAGGCAGGAAGGAGAGCTCTGGCTGGGAGGCCCAGGCTGAGGCTGGAGAAGGCTCTGGGTGCCCTGAGATGGGGGTGGGGAACCCAGCAGGAAGCATGGTCAGCAGGTGACCCCGCCGCCGCCGGGTATTGTGTCCCTTAGAATATTTGCCCTGTTTCTGTGGTAACGTTCCGTGGGGGCCTTAGGCCTTAGGGCTGCAGGAAGGTGCTCCAGACAGCCCTTTCCTTAGTGGCCCACGTACTGGGAGTCCCAGGGTCTAGCTACTCCCTAATCCTTTTTGGCTCTGTAGGACCAGGGCCTGGAAATCCAGACAAGTGGTCTGACCAAGCACTGACTGGGGGGGGGGGGGACTGAGTAGAGGCCCCACAGTATCTCTCCTGGCAGCCAAGGGAAGAGAAGTAGGCTGGATTTGGGGGAGGGCTCCAAGCAGATTGAAAACACCGACTTCAGCTTCTGCCTCCTCTCATCCGGATCTTTCTCTCCACGGCCTCCTGCAGTCAGTCATTCAAGGGGTGGTGGACAGAGAGCTGCCTGGGGCAAGGGGGTGGGGGTGGCAGAGGCAGGAGGGATGTTTTCATCCGCAGAGCATAGCTCCTTTGGTTCTGGACTTGTTCCCAGAGGCAAAATAAATTCAGGATAGCATCTGTTTAGTATGAGTCTCCATGTGATATGTGTGTATGCACTGGGTGTGTGGTGGGTGTCTGTGTTTGCCCAGGGCTGGATATGCCTATGTGGTGGTTCCGTGGCAATCTGTGATCCATGTGCTGGCTCTGTTGGGTGTTTGGGGGTGTGCACACATGTGGCACAGATGTGTGTCTTCTGTGTCTTAGGCACCTTTATAAGTTATGGCTCTGTGTGGGGTATACAGAGCCTGTGGGCAAGTTTTCGGGGATGTGAACCTATGTAGAAGCTGCTTTTTCACAGGTGTCCAGATGTTAACCTGTAAAGCGCTGTCCATGGGCTTCTCTTCTCTCTCTTTTCTCTCTCTCTCTTTCTTTCTCTCTTTCTTTCTTTCTTTCTTTCTTTCTTTCTTTCTTTCTTTCTCTCTCTCTCTCTCTCTCTCTCTCTCTCTCTCTCTCTCTCTTTCTTTCTTTCTTTCATTCTTTCTTTACGGCAAGGTTTCTCTGTGTAGCCCTAGCTGTCCTGGAACTAGCTCTGTAGACCAGGCGGCCTTGAACTCACGGAGATCCACCTGCCTCTGCCTCCTGAGTGCTGGGATTAAAGGTGTGTGCCACCATGTCCAGCTTCCTGTCCATGCCAGTTACTGGACCAGTTGCTTCAGGATCATGTGAAGGATGTGTAAAAACGTCCTCAGGCCCTATTCCCACCATCTCTCAGACTCTGCAGGAGTGGGGTGAGGAACCTGCATTTTTACTTGCTTGGTGGGGGATTCTGGTGCCAAGCTGTGCTGGAAAAGCACAGGCCTGGGCCAATCTTTTCATTTATTTTAATGGAGGAGACAGGCCTGCAGGTGTGTGGTGTGTTTGAGGTCACTGGGATATTTAGAGAAAGAACTCAGAAACCACCTAAGCCTCCTAAGGCTGCTCCATGATTTAATGCGGGGACCTGTGTGCACATTCGTGGCCAGCATGGTGAAGGGGGCAGGTGGTGCCGTCTGGTGGAGATGCTGCCTCAGAGTGGCACTGACTTTTCCTTTGGGCTTCCAGCCTTTCTGGTCTCATTGTTGTTACCCCGAAACTCTCGAGAATCACGCTGGCAGCCCGGGAACCTCATTTACCAAGCTGGTCACTCAACAGTTCATCCGTTTGTTACAGACTTGCAGAGCTCTGTGCCATGCACTGGGCACAGATGTGCAGTGAGCACAAAGGTATGCATCTGTTCTCGGGGTGCTACCACTCTATAGGAGACCAAGAAAGCATGGGCGGGAATGAAGAGGTGAATAGTTACACTTGGTGATAAGTCCTACGAAGGAAATGAACTGAGTGAAGCAATAAAAAAACAACAAGGTGGGACTTCCTTAGACAGGCCATGGGAGGTCTAAGTGACATCGACACCTTTTCTCCCCAGACTGGAAGTAAGTCTACAGAACCTGCTAAACCATGCTTGCAAGCTCCCTGAATCCAGCTGAGGGGTCTAAACTGAGCTCTAGCTGAGGGCTGGAACTGGACTGCCGGCCTGGTAGACAGCAGGCTCTTCTTTCCTCATGGAGGCCCCCCCCCCCCAGGTTGACAGAGGGGCAGAGAAGCAGGAGCAGCCAAATAGGGCTGGGGGAAGGTTAAGAACATGGCAGACTCTGTCAGGAGCTCCCAAGCACCGCCCATTCCTGACCCTCCCACCTCATTCCCTTCCTTCCCAACCTGGTACCCACTGTGCCTCCAGGTCTCTCCCCTCTGGGTATAGCTGACTGCCTCTATGGCCACTGGGATTTATTTATCAAGTTCAGGGTTACCAAGGAGAGGGGGCGGGTCAAGGCTCAGAGCCGATCAGGGTCTGGGGCTATAACAGAACCAGAAAAAAGAAGAGGGGATACGGGGAGGGGCCAGAAAGACCTGAGCTTAGGAGACACTCGCTCATGAGGAAGCTGCCCAGCAGTGCCTGGACCAGAAGAGCGTATAGGGAAGGCCTGAGCTTAGGAGGTTCTTCTATGCCCTCACATCTGCTCCCTGAGCTGGATGACTCTTAGACCAGAGGGGCAGAGGGGTCTGGTTCAAGCCACCTGCTCTACTTCCGCCAGAAGGAAGTACCCCCTTGGGCCCACCTGCAGGCCTGCCCCTACACCCGTCTCTCAAGAGGTTAACTTTCACATCAGCAATTTGGGCATAACCTTCCTGCTGTCAGCCAGCAGCCTTCAGATCTCTTCTCTCTCTCTCCTCAGTAGAGGGTTTTCCCTGGGAGACCCTGAGCTTCCCACTGGCACAAGAAAGTGCAGCCCCCGAGGGATTGGAGGAGCCTAGAAGGAAGAGAAGAGGTCTGCGTCCCTCCCCCTTTGCTTGGTCCTCTCTTCAAGCGCCTCAAGTGCCTTCATTCCTTGGCCCCTGCCTCCCAGCCTTGCCCTGCCCCAGCTGCAGGCTCCTATTGGGGGTGGGGGAGTGGAGGAGCAGATCGGACTCAGGGTCCCTACCCTATCCCCAGGCCACTTTCCTTCTCATATTGCCATGCAGAGATGGGAAACTTGAGCGGTCCGAAACTGTCTGGCTTCCACAGCAGGGAAGAACCAGGGAACTCCGTTCCCCTTGCCTTCCGCTTAGCTCCCTGCGGAGCCGGATCCCAAGGAGCCCACGCATTTTTCCTCCAGTAGTGCTCCAGTAGCCCTCAACCCAGAAGTCCGGTTCCCCTTCTGCAGCCCTCTGGATGGCAGGCAGGAGCAGGGCAGGCTGGGAGGTACAGGTTCGGAAAGAGTCGGGGTGGGGGAATTCGGAGACTGGGCTGTAACCGACTTGTTTTGCTTGCCCCCACAAACCTGCACGTCCGGGGCATCCGCTGCGCCCTCCGGGGCCTTCAGGTTGTAGAAGTGTTCTCAGAATGACAGACTGGTGCCACCGGGTTGGGGCAAGAGGGTGGGGGGGAAAGGGGGGGAGCCCCAGGCAAGGGGGAGCTGGAGGGTTAAAAATAGCAGCAGTCGGGTTTCGGTTAGCAAATGTGGAGGCGGGGAGCTGGAGGCGCGGCAAACGGGGCTGTGCTTCCCCTGGGTCCGGGAGTGAGTCACCGTGGAGAGCTGGTGAGGCAGCAGACTGAGCACCCTCACCCTGCCGCTCTGCACAGGGTTGCACGCAGGGAGCCCAGGGCTCAAAGGAGATAAAGCTCTGAGCCAGAAGGGCGCTGTGTGAAATGGAGAAGACCGAAGCCCAAGATCTGGGTTTGAATGCTAGTGGAGTAAGCTGTTGGGGGCTTGTGTGAGGATGCCGAGGCTTCAAAGTCTTGTTTGCTCCTGGCTTCCCCACCCCCCACCCCGAGTCGGGGAGTGTAAACTCTTGGTGGACTGACTCTAAAGCATCCCCTAGATGTCAGGTCGCATCACCCTGCGCCAGTGGCAAAACCCAGCAAGAGCAGGGACAAGAGGAAAGAATGGTTGGTCTGGGCTGAATCCCTCTTTCTCCAGCAACAGGCAAAGCTTGGGCACCTTCTTCTCTGTGACTCGGTTTCTTTATCGCTAATGTGAAAATAATTACGTTCTCAATCTCACAGAGTTTCTGTAGAGATGAAAGGAGATCGTGTACGTGACTTACGCCATGTCTAGTAGGAAACCGGTGCACGCCGAATACTCATCCTTATTATTGATGTTATTGTTCATATTTTTAAAGGTCAGAAATAGAGAATGTTGGAGACATGACAGAACGGGGCCCAGCCCCAGTTCACATCGAAAAACCAGGCCAAATTCCCTGCTCTAGATTCCTCCACCCTTGTGGGCCTGGAACAGCAGGAGTCTATCGCCAACAGTCACAGGGTGGACCCCTGCTTCTCTCTCGTCCACTCCCTTCCCAGAGAAGCAGGGTGAGGGAGGACCCCAGGCTTCATAGCCAGCTGGCTCGTCCAAGGGGCTGCCATGCCATGCTGGGCAGAGAGCCCCTTCATGGCCTCCTGTGTGGAGTACCTTACCAACATCTCCTGCTGGTGACCCTGGTGACTGACCTTTCCTTTAGCTTCCTCCCTGGCAGCCCTTAAGAGGAGGGTGAAGCAGAGGAGGGTCGGCAGCTCAGTGACATCAGCAGTATTCCCAGCACACTGGCCCTGGAGGAGACCTGAGGCATTGCTTTCAGGAAATATCATTATTCAGCTGACAGGCATTCATTAAGTAAGGCCTGACGTTGCCTAGCCTGGGCTCGGCCCTCAGCGTGATTCACAAGAGGCAAATGCCCAGAGCGTGTAGATAACACGGATTCCCTGATAGATATGGGGTCCGAGAATATGTGGAATCCTTGAAAGCCCTGTAACCCTAGTGGGCTGGAGACCCTTGGTCATGTGTTGACTTTGCTTCCAGGGTGTGCACATGGATGTGCGTGCACAGTGAATCGTTACCACAAGGGTACTTCTGCAGAAACAGACATACAGGGCGGCAGCTAATGGAAAGTAGCACATACTGCAGAGCTCTACCATGAGGGGGGGCCCTGGGCCCTCAGCACATGCCCTCCCGCTTTCTCACGTGCCCCTTAAAGCTGTCTTTTTTGCTGAAATGAGATTGCATGATGCATGCTGGGGTTTTTGGTTTTGTTTTGTTTTGTTTTGTTTTTTTCAGTCAGCAATCTCCACCTTCCTGTGTAGTATCATTCTCATCCAGTCCCTATTTGGCTAGAAATTGTCCTTGAAGTTCCTTCGTTCACACCAGTTGAATTCCCTGATGGCTGTGTAAGCACCCTAGCTGGATTTGTGGTCTGGAAAGATCTTTGGTAAGTGTCAAGGGCAGCCCTGGCCACAGAAGGGAGTGAGATCGCCTGCAGAACCTGCCTGATAGACTTCTGCCATTTTCCAAAAGTAACAGGCGGAAGGAGGAGGATACCACGGCATGACTGGATTTGGGGATGTCTGGGATATTTGCTGTCATTAATATTAATGTGGCATCTCAGTAAGTGCCAGCATTCATAGCTTGTTGCTATTCCCAGACTCCAGATGCCTCCCATTTTCTTGGTTTGCACTGAGAGCCCACCCCCAGGCCAGTGGGAGGACAGGGTCTGTGGTGGCCAATGTCCTCTACCTTCCCCCCCCCCAACTAGGGTTAATTTGGCTATTCTGAATGAGGGTGCTCCTCTCTGTAAAGCGGGTGCCTCCACTTCTACCTGCCCAAAGTCTACCCAGGGGAGAGGCTTGGGAATGAGGGAGAGGCTGCATCCTTCCAAAGGAATTCCTTCTGAGTACCCGTCTTAGGGTGACTTGCCCTGGTTATGCAACTGGAATTTTCTACAGGACTTGACAATTTCCAGAGTGCTCTTACAGCGTGTGATGCTCCAAGGCAGCCCTGGGAGGTCCTGCTTGTTTAGTTATCCCCTGCTGGAGGCAGCTTATAGGATAAGCCAAAAAAATGGTAAGATGCACATTCAAGAAACTGGGGAAATACAGGATGAGTAAGGAAGTGAAGACGAGCCTCCCAGAGACAGACAAAGGCGCAGGAGGACCGCCGTGGACAGGGGTGGTGTTTGTTATGTGGTGTGTTTTGGATAGGGCCTCTCATGCTTTGTGGAAGCGTGCCAGGGCTGGGGTTTAGTCTACGGTCCTGTGTGCCCCTCAGCGGCTTCTTTTCACTACCTATTAGGAGGTGTCCATGCCAGTGTGCTGATCATGAGCTTAGGTTTTGGAAGCTTAGGCAAGTTTCTTTTCTCCTCTCTCCCCTCCCCTCCCTTCTCTTTTGCTCTCTCTCCTTTCTCTTCTGTCTATTGTGGCGCTGGGGATAAGCCCAGGGCCTCTGTCATGTTAGACAAGCTCTCTCTATGGCTAAGCCACACTGCCCTTTGCATGCTTCTTGACCTCTTTAGCCTCAGTTTCCCTTGTAATAGCACCAACTTTAAGGACTGTGGTAGGAATACATTGTCAGCGTTTGTATATGCCTGCTGGTCATTATTAATATTAGTGGTTAAAATGATTCATATTAGTGGTTAGAATAATATACTAAGTAACTTGGACTTCTTCCCTGCCATCTCAGGACTAGACTGGGGGAGACCTTTGGGCGGCTCAGGTGGCGGGGACTGTGAAAGCGCCTCTCCAGGCACACAAGCAGCAGGGAAAGGCAGGACTCCGGAGCAAGCAGGAGTGGGATGCACAGATAGGCCCAGCCCAACGGCAACCCTCAAGGGGGAAAAGACACCACCCCCAGAGGCAGCTTTGGGGTGGTGAAGGCGCTTCCTGTTGGGGCAAGCAGTTGAGAAAGGCTGGCTGGGACTGGCTGCTGGGTGAAATGGGCACAGGGTGGGTGGGGATGGGGGGTGGGGAGGTGGAGGGTGGAGGGTGTCGGGGGAGACAAGGCAGAGGCTGACTTATAAACTAAACTTATAGCCCCCACATTACAGATGGGGGTCTCAAATCTTGCCTGCTTAGGATGTTTTCCTTGTGATAGAAAAAAAAAATAGTGACTAGACTTTATAGTGAACTTCCAGTAAGATCAGAGCTGCTGGACCAAGGGAGTTGTGGACAGAACTTACATGCCCGAGGGTTTTCAGTGCCTAGAAATACCAGAGCAATCTGGACTAGGCAGCCTGTCTGCTCAGGAATTCCCTAGGTGGACAGGGCATTTCAGAGCAGGCCAGGCTGCAAGGCAGGCCCTGGAGATAGGGAGCGGTGGCAAGCCTGGAGAGCCACCCTGAGGAGGTGTGTGCTTCTGGTCTACAGAGGGAGTTCAGAAAGGCTAAGGAGTCCAAGAGGCCCTGGGAGGGGACGGAGGCCGCAGGATCTCACTGTACTTTAGCAGGGAGCAGGAAAGCTCTAAAGGTGCCATTGCTTCATACAAATGACCCGGGACCTCTTCCTCAGGATTCATGAGAGAGGCCAGCAGAGGTAGGTGACAGAGAGCCAGGGGGACACGGCCACTCCTGGGAAGCTTGAGCTGCCACTGCCATGGTTACATCTACTTCCTGTTTGATGAATTTCAAACGGGGCGGGGTGAGGGGGTGGGTGGAGGGGGGTGGAAAGGCTGGCTCCTGGCTCAGGCTACCACTACGTGGGGCTGTTTACAACAGCCGCATGTGGGATTCCCAGAAAGAGACTCCAAACCGGACATCCTGTGGCTGCAAAATACCCAGGTGTCAAGAGCTAAAAATAACTGCCCTAGAGTCCCAGCCACCCAGAGGTGGAGGGGAAGGGGCCTGTTCACTGTGGGGGAGGGGGGGCAGCCTGAAGCCTGCACTTCCAGCCCTCCGATCTCTGGATGTCTAGCTGCCATGCCAGTGATCTCCCTTCCCTTGTCCCCTTACAGCTGCCCCCAGACCCCCATCTGCATAGGCACCCATCCCAAGCTGCCCACCTGCCAGCTGAGCCTGTGTCTACACAGGATCTGTGCAGTTTGTTTTGGGCCTCTTGTAAGAGGCTATAGGAGAGCTTGAAAGCTTCGAGAGCAGTGGTTCTCAACCTGCAGGTCGCAGCCCCTGGGGGGTTGAATGTCCCTTTCACGGGGGTCACCTACCATCAGAAAACACAAGATATTGACATTACGATTCATGACAGTAGCAAAATTACAGTTGTGAAGTAGCAATGAAAATAATTTCATGGCTGGGCATCACCACAACATGATGAACTGTATTAAGGGGTCGCAGCATTAGGAAGGTTGAGAACCGCTGATCTAGAGAGGAGACGAAGCAGGGTACCACTGAGCAGAAAAAATGGAGCAGAATCCCCTCTGAGGCCCCAAAGCTGTGGCCAACAGTCCCGTTATTGCTTGGCTTCTACCAAAGCCAGTTACTGCTGGTGACTCTTTGGGACTGTCTTCATGGGTACCAAGAGGTAAATGAGACAGCCTCTGGCCTGCACAGGACGGGGTTTGCCTCTGGCACACTCTGAGGCACACTCTGAGGCACACTCTGGAGGCGAAGAACGTTTTTTGCCTTTGTCTGCCCTGCACTGGCCAGCTAAGAGGCATGTGTTAGTTGAGAGCAGGATCCTAGAGTCATCATGCTATGTGACCTCAGGTCCTTTGCACATGCAAAATGTGCTTGAGTGTATGTGTGTGCACAAAGTGTGTGTACAGGAACCTATGGAGGTCAGAAGAGGCATGGGATCCCCTGGAACTGGTGTTACAGACAGTGGTGAGCTGCCATGTGGGTCCTCTGCAAGAGCAGGCAGTGCCCTTAACCCCTGGGCCATCTCTCCAGCCCCTAACCTCAGGTTATTTAATGCTGCTGGGTCTTAGTCTACCCATCTATATACTGGAGATGAAACCAGTCACCTCGTGGGGCTTGTTACAAGCATCGGGCAAGTTAGCAGATGATGGGCACTTGGGGCAACTAGTGCCACCTCACAGCAGTTTGGGTGGAAGGGGAAGGGGAGCCCCTGTTGTTGGGGGAGGGGGAGGGGAAAGTGATGGGGGAGGGGCACATGCAAGGCACATGCCCGTGGTTGAGGAGGGAGGGTGCAGTGGGACCGGCCCCCGATTTGTTAGTGCCAGAATGGGGGCTCTTCCAGGTTTGGAGCAGACAGGAATAGTGGGCAGCCGTGACGGTGTGTGGCTGACCACAGCTGGCCTCTCATCAGATTCCAGATGGGGCAGCTGAAGCTCTACCAGATGTCATACATATCTGGTTCATCCCACTTGGTGTGCTAGCCAAGGTCCTTAGTGCTTGGGACCCTTGCTCCCCTCGTAGGCTTCATGTGAGAGCCTACTACTCTCTGTCCCGCGGCTCTGGATAAATCTGAGCAAGAAGCAGTTCAGAGCCAAGACTGTGAAGTTTTGGAAGGGGGGAAGGTGGACACAGAAACTGTTTAAAAGGTCTGATCCAAATAAAATTATAGGGAGTCTGGGGTGAGTGAGAAATTTATATTCTGTCATACATTTTAGGCTGTTTGAATTTTTTAGTAACTGTAAATAGTATATACATTTTAAAAAATTCTTTTTTTTTTTAGATTATAATATAAAGTAGTAATACATTTTTAAAAAATTGTGTGTGTGCCAGGCAGTGGTGGCGCACTCCTTTAATCCCTGAACTCAGGAGACAGAGGCAGAGGGATCTCTGTGAGTTCGAGGCCAGCCTGGTCTACAGAGTGAGTTCCAGAACACCCAAAGCTACACAGAGAAACCCTGTCTTGAAAAAAAAAAAATGTGTGTGCCCATGCAGTTGTGTATGCATACATGTGTGTGTTCACATGAAGGTGTGTGTGTACATGTGCAGGTGTGTGTGTTCATGTGTATGGGGTGCACATGTGTGTGGAAGCAAAGGCCAGCTTTGCCTATCATTTCTCAAAAGACATGTTCTTTTGAGACAGTCTCTTACTAGGACTTGGGGCTGGCCTGTGAGTCACCGGGATCCTCTTGTCTCTGCCTCCCTAGTGCTGAATTGTAAATGTATGCCACTACGCCCAGCTGGCATTGCACGCGTATGGGTGTTTGGCTTGTGTGTATGTATGTCTGTGTACCATGTGTGTACAGTGCCTCTAGAAGCCAGAAGAAGGAATCTGATCCCCTGAAACAGCTAACAGACAGTTGTGGGCCAACATGTGGGTGCTGAGAATTAAATCCAGGTCCTCTGAAAGAGCAGCCAGCGCTCTTAACCATGGAGACATCTCTCCAGCCCTTATAACCCAGCTTTTCATGTGGATGGCTGGAGAGTCAACGCATGTCCTCATCTTTACACCACCAGGGGTTTACCAACCAAGCTGTTGCCCTGTTTCCCCTCCCCCCCAAATATTTTAAAGCCAGGCACATTTCACCCCTAGAAGTATATGTTCTTTTTCTTTTTCCTTAAATCAACTAAAGGAGCTAGGTGGTGATGGCACATGCCTTTAATCCCAGCACCTGGGAGGCAGAGGCAGGTAGATCCTCTGTGAGTTCCAGGACAGCCTGGGCTACATAGAGACCCTGTCTTGAAAAGCAAAACAAACAAACAAACAAACAAATCAGCTAAAGGCTGGTTATGGTAGCCTGTGCCTGTAATCCTGGCACTTAGAGGCGAAGGGTTTGAGTTTGAGGCTAGCTAGGGTCACATAGTGAGTTCTAGGCCATCCAGGGTTACAGAGTCATTTTCAGGTCAGCTAGGGCTCCGTACTGAAATTGAAAACCTGTCCAATAATAATAATAATAATAATAATAATAATAATAATAATAATAATAATAATTAACTAAAGATGAGGTATGTTTCTGTGTTCTACCTACGTGTGATCTCATTACTCAGGAAGCTGAGGCAGGAGGGTTGAGAATTGGAGATCAGCCTGAGCTGCATCTTGAGACCCTGCCTCGGTATTTTAAGATTCTGAGCTGTATTTCATGTTTCTTTGCTTGCTTGCTTGCCTGATTTTGAAAGAGAGGGTCTTACTCTGTAGCTCAGTCAAACCTCGAAGTATTGATTCCCCTGTCTCAGCCTCACATTGCAGGTGAGGGCTGTTTGAAACTGTTTGAAAGCAGCAAACAGGGCTGGGTAGCTGTGTCTTCTGGGCCCCCAGCTCAGCCTCCGGAGGGGGTCAGCACCTGCATTTGGAATCACCTCTCACACGGGCCTTCCTGGGCTCCTGCTGGTGAGCTAATGCCCTTCTCACACCTCTCTCTGCCACAACAGCATTGGCCTGAGTGATCCTAGGTTCAGTCAGATGCCTGGAAGAAGAGCCATCTTTCCATGGCTCTCACAGGCCTTCCAGGCCTGACAACCATGGCATGCCTTCTCCTTGGTTATTCTTGGACTCTCGTGGGGCCCTTTTAACTCCTCGGCCAGTCCCCACAAGGAGTCAGGCTTTGTCCTTCTTGTGTCACGGCTAGAGACTCTGAGGCCGCAACCTGGGGTCTAGGGGCTCAGCCTGGAACCCAGGACCTTGTCCTGAAGTTTCTATCTGTTTTCCCTTTGCCGCTAAGGCCTGTTCTTCCTGCAGCTTTCTTTGTAGCTAATAGCCGGGGACCAGGGAACTGGGAGTCACCTGGACTCAGGCTTCCTGTCACCATGTGGGACAGATGAGGTCAAAACTGGGGTCTGAGGCAGTGAGGTAAGACGCAGAAACCCAGCTTGTCCAGGGGGCCTGAGGTTGGAGCCCCATGATGTTCATACCTAGTCTGGAGATTGCTCAGGTTGTGATGTACCCATCAAGACAGGATATCTGAGATGCTTGGTCCTGGGTGAGAGGTAGATGCTCTGGAGTAGGAAGGAAACGGGTTAGTCCAGGTTCCCCACACTGAGTAAACTGCTAAAGCCTGATTGCAGTTGCTTCCCAAAAAAGGTGGAAATGGGTAGGGGGTGGGTAGCCAGGCTCCTGAGGAGCCCCCAACCAAGAGCCGTGTGAAGGGTCCGGCCCTGGACAGTGTTCTTGGTCCCTCAGGTCAATTTTCTCCTTGTTTTTCATGTGGTTTGACCCTCAATGGATGATAGCCCCCCTCTGAGAAAGGTAGCAAGGTCACTGAGAAGTGGGAGTCCGAAACTCGGGCCGGAACTGGGGTGCAAGGTATCTCCGTTCTCTTTCCGGCTCAGCCCTCATCATGGCACCATGAGATGCCTTTCCTCTTCAAGCAGTGAGCCATTCCTAGGAGTTTTGAACTCTGTGGCTCTTAGCAGACAGCCAGGGAATAGAGAGGTTCTTTCTAGAAAGTGCTTTTGGATTTGGTCTCTTTGCTGTCATGAATGCACACACATCCAATGTGGCTCTTCAGAGTAGAGCTTGCGTCATAGGTCACCACCACAGACTGTCCCTGCACTCGCCGTAACAAACCACAAGGCCCGAGGTTATTAGTTCTTCTCCTTTCCACAGAGTGCATGGTGTCCAAACCTGTGGTTACCAGGGGCGTGAGGCGCCGAAGGTCTTAACTGCTCGCAAGCGTGTAGGCCAGGGCAGAGGGGAAATGCAAGTTGATTCCCGGGATGCAGGGGATCTCTGGGCCTGACTGCCTCTTCAAGTCTGGTTTCTGTTGCTGTGGTAAACACCATGACCAAAAGCAACGTGGAGGAGGCAAGGGTTTATTTGGCTTACCGTTCCATGCCATGGTGCAGCCATTATTGAGGGAAGTCACGGAAGGAAGTCAAGCGGGAACCTGGAGGCGGAAACCTCCAGTTTGGAGGAGCGCTGCTTACCAGCTCTCTCTGCCCCGCTCAGACACATTCCTTGTACAAGCCAGGACCACCTGCCTAGGAGTGGCATTGCTCTCCTGCATCAGTTAGCATTAAAAAAAAAAAAAAAAACAAAGCCTCACAGACGTGCCCACGGGCCGGTCTGACAGAGGTGATCCTTCAGCTGAGATGTCCTCTTCCCAGGTATGTCGGGTTGACAACCAAGATTAACTCTTACACAGGGACCATACTAAGAGTCAGTGCAGAAACCTCTCAGGACCGGGGCCCCCAGAAGAAAGGGGATCCCAAGACACCCAGAATGAAGACTATTCCTAGGAAGAGGAGGCAGCTTCTGGGATAGGTGTTCCTTGGGGATCACAAACCTTGAGAAATATTCATGTCTTAGGCAGGGAGTCGGGAGAGGATCATTGTGTGTGATTCATCAGTGCCAAAGGGGGCCTCATGTGCCTTAGGAGATGTTGTTGCAGGTAATGATGGCTGATACACACCACCATCGATACCACGCATAATTAATGCTGTGCTGAGGTGTGGGGACACTGTGGGTGCATGGGAAGTGAGGAGAACAGATGGATCAGCCCCGTCACGACACGGGCTTGGGCAGACCTCCAAAGGTGACTGAACTAATGGGTGGGGTGGCATGTCCACACAGAACTGTGTACTGAGGCGTGGGTGCCAATGTATGATGGGCCACTGGTTGGAGTCCCTTTCTACCTGGAGCTGCTCGCTCAGTATAGGTCCAGAAAGCAGCACCAATACTCCCTTCAGGAAGTAGCCTTCAGGTCTGGTCTGAGGAGCATAGCCACTAAATGCTGCCTGTAGAAAGCCCTCAGTTTCCTTGACCCTTCCGGGAAGGCCTTCCGTCCCTTGGGCCCCGAGCTGGCATGGCAAAGGGTGTTCACTGTGGACAGGTGGCCTAAGAACTCCCATCTGCTTCCCCTGCCCAGCCTGCCTGGGTCTGTCTGTTGCCAATCAACCCAAGCTCCTGTTGTAGTTTCGTGGGTTCTGAGTGGGCTTAGGAGCCTGGGAGAGGTGGCCATTTCCAAAGAAGAGATTTCTGGCCCTGCTTATCTCAGAGAGGCTTAGTGGGTCTTTTTTCTTGGACAATCAAGGTGGCCAGACACAGAATGGAGCAGCTGGAGGAGAGGACCCTACACTGGGGGCCTTGGGGTGTGCATCTCCCCTACTTCACAGCTCCTACCAGATCTCTCCTGACCTGCGGCCACAGCCCAATCCTTTCCCACTGTGAAAACGGTTCCTGTTCATGACAGTTACTCTATGCTTCTCCAGGTCTGCTCTCCCCAGCTCTCTCCTGCCCTCCCTTGACACATGCTCCCACTTCTGGCCCTGCGCACCTTTCAGCCTGCTTTCCCCCTCTCAGGCTGTTGGGAGTGTGCTCTGACTGCCCAGGGAAGATGGTATCTGACCACATGAGGGAGGGCTGAGGGCATTGTGGGGTGAGCTGGGGCTTCCTTGGGTTCTTGTTGTGCACTGTGTCCAAGCAGCCGGGTAGCTAGCTGAGTCATGCAGTAGCTGGCCACAGAAGCTGGAGATCCCACTCAGCCAGCCTGGAGCAGCAGGGAGCTTGGCCCCTCCAGAGGCAGTAGCCCTTCTTCCCCATCCACCCCCCGCCCCCCTCCCAGACACACCTTCACCTCTCTTCTTTCTACAGGCGGGTCCCAAGTTAGCCTGGGTACCCGCTGCCCCAGTCCCCCTGGCACAGGTGAAAGTCAGGCCAGAGAGAGATGAGTTGGTGGCGGATTGGGATGAGGGGTGGAAACAGCCAGGGAAAGGTGAGACCTGAGGGTTTGAAGAAGTGGGGATGTGGCTGGGCTAGAGAGTTAGAAGGAGGGGGCAGGGTCCCAGGGAAGGGACAAAGTTAGGTCTCCAGAAGAAAGAGGATAGGAAAGGCATCTTTGGATCTAGGCTAGGAGAGATATATGTTCTTGTTTGCAAGTCATTCGATTCTCTTAGGGGCCCTTCAGGGAAGAACGCTGTTTCTCACGCATGAGATGGCTTTCTCTGGGTCTTCCCTGCTGGCCTGGACCGTCTGCTGTCACTCATCTGGAAGACTGGGTTGCAGTGGACTTTCTGTTGCTGCCTAGGTCTAGGATAGAAGTCTGAAGCTGTCTTTCCTTAACTCCCGGGGTGAGGGTGGGGGCCAGTCACCGGATCTACCAAGTCTGTAGTGATTCCACACAGCAGGGGAGACCTGAAAGGCCAGAAGATCTTAGTCAGCTGTCCCAAAGCTTGGGAAGACAGGACACACAAAAGGAGGGGAAAAATAGTGGTAGCAACGTGTGACCTGTGCTAAATGAGAGAAACGTGACTCATGAGTTCATCCTGTCACTCGGAATCATTAATGAACCCCATCCCTGTGAACCACTGTCCTAGGCCACTGAGGAAAAATAACCAAGCTTTCCCCAGGATTCTGTGTCTATTGAGTGTCTACCTTACGCCATGTTACGGTATTCTAAGTCCTAGGATGATGAGCAATGACGAACCAAAGGCCAACCAGGCATGGTCCTGCTCTTCGACAAGCTTACAATGTTGTGAGCATCCAACATGGAGTCCGGGAGGAAGGGCTGGCTGCTTCACACTGGCCCAGGTGCAGCCGGGCTTTGAGCAGTAGGTGAAGTTTGGGAAAGCAGAGTGTAGGGGTGAGGCCAGCATTGGCAGGAGATGCTGTGAGCCAGAGACGAGGGGATAAAAGGTTCTGGGTTTATTAGGGGATAAAAGGCACTGCCTGAGTAGTCGGTGGCTTTATTCACACGGAGGAGACCAAGGTGATGTGGGTGTTCATGGGAAAATGCCCGAAGGAGGCTTCCCAGAGAACTTTCCCCACTCCTGCACGATGTCATGGGGCTACCCTATGGAGCCTCCCAAATGCTAAGACACCCGGGCAGGCCTTCCCAAAGTTCTGAACAGAGTCCGTCCTCTGTTCCTGGCATCCTCTGGCGCTGGCGGTAGCAATGCTGAGTGAGGGGTGGTGGCAGCTCTTACGTGGCTGCTCCTCGTTTGCTGTGGCTGAAGCCACGGGCCTCAGGTAGAGTGCCCCACCTTGGGCTCTCCTAATCCCTGCACCATCGAGGCAGTGGCCTCAGGAAGCCAGTACACCAGAACCAGGGAAGACGGGCCTCTCATGGGCCAGGGATGTGTTGCCAATGGAGGCCCACACTCAACCAGAATGATTTCTTGCGTAGCATGGGAACAGGAGTGAGGGCGCCAAATCCTGGCATTTGTTTACTATGGGTGGCATCTGGATGCACAGTCACCTCTGGAGGGCCACAGCAGGCCTGGCCCGACTCTTCTTCATATTCATCTCACGGTCAGTGTTAGAATGACACCTCTTAGTGACAACGTCCCATGAGTTCTTCCCTTGCCCAGTGGGAGCCCCTTCCAAAGGAGGTGATTTCCTGAGTGTTGGTGGGGAAATGGAGCATTGGCCTTAACAGGACTAGACTCCAGCCTCTGTCTGCCCCTTGCTGGGTGACTCTAGGCAGTCCTCTTCACATTGGGACCTCACTTAGCTCATCTGGGGTAAAGGACAGCCATAACTAGCATCCAGGGCAGGTGGACTGGGAGCTGAGTGGGTTTTGTTGCATGCATGCACCACAGATGTTAAGGTTATGATTCCTATGGTTGCATCAGACCACGGACCACATTTCCTGCCTCTCCCATTGGTCCTTTGCTGGGGAATCTTCCCATTCCCAGTCAGTGCCAGACCCTGAGGACAGCTGTGGCTGCTCTGTGAGGGGATGCCTGAAGAAGGCCCCTGTGGGGCGTTTCCCCCTCTCTCGTACTCTCATCCTTTCCCTTCCCTAGGACTCCCCTCCCCCAGGACCCCCCCTCTTCCGGCAGCTCCACCTTCCAGCGTCTCAGCATCCCTGACTGCTGAGCCCAGCCTGGCCAGCTGGCGGTGCTGGCCCAGTCCCTGGTCTGCTGGTGAGCTATAAATAGCTCCTGCACCCACGGCCTTGGCAAGGTGCTCCTGGCGTGGGTGCAGAGGACACTGGAGAAGAAGCAGCTGAGGCTGCTGTCCTTGCCAGGCCAGGCCCACAGCTGGCTCGAATGGGAAGCAGGAGTCTGCACCACAAGCTCATGGGCCTGGTGAGCTGAGGAGCCTGTCCTGAGAGCAGGGTTCCGTAGGCCCTAGGTGGCCGGCCAGGGCTGCTTGTGGGCTCCAGGCATTGTTTCTGGATCCCCAGGACCCGAGCGGTACAGAGCGTGGGAATGAGAGAATGGCCCCTGAGGGATGGTGAGGCCCATGAGATTGGGGGCTGAGCAGAGCAGACCTGTTTACCTCTCTGGTCTCTCCCTCCCACCCTGAGCCAGGCTGACCTCATTCCTAGAAGGACAAAGAGTATAGAGCCTAAAACGGCATCACCGGTTCAGAAAACCCCGTCGCCTTAGCTCCAAGCCAATGGAGAAGCATTCTAGGGGGAGACGCCATGCTTACAGACCTGTGGCTCACTTCTCGCCATCAGCAATTGGAAGGGAGCTTGTCTGTAGTCTGTAGACCTCCTTTCTCGAGGGTAGAACGGAATCCAGGACCCACCTGTAGCTCGCCGCTGACAGGCTTATGTGAGGAAAAGGTCCCCTGAGGGTGTTTTTACTGATGTTAAATCAGCCCCAGAGGGTTCAGTCGTCTGTGACGGTGTTCCTGCAGACTGGCCGTCCACCTGACTCTGCTGTGTGTCCCCAGGCTGCCCCGCCCTCCGGCCAGACACGCCAGGCTCTCAGTCCCAGCCCATGGATCTGCGAGTGGGCCAGCGGCCCCCAGTGGAGCCCCCGCCGGAGCCCGCGCTGCTGGCCCTGCAGCATCCCCAGCGCCTGCACCGCCGTCTCTTCCTGGCGGGCCTGCAACAGCCACAGCGCCCAGCGGAGCCCATGAGGGTAAAAGCCAGAACTCCTTAGACACATCCCAGCCTCCGCAGACCTTAGCTCTGTCCTTCACTCCGCCCTCCCTCCGGCTCTGTCCACAGCTCCCAATGGACGCACCCATGCCGGAGCTGCAGGGGGGCCCGCAGGAGCAGGAGCTGCGGCAACTTCTCAATAAAGACAAGAGCAAGCGAAGTAAGGGCTTGTCTGCCCTGTCCACTGCCCGGCGTTCGGGGTCCGCCGTGGGGCTGGGAGGGGTGCGTGGGAGGGTCACCATTTGCTGGGATGCCCTCTCATGGGGACAGGAGTCGGGGTGCGAGTGTCTAGAGGCTGGACAGGAGGGGCGGGGCCTCAGGTGTAGCGCCCTTGCCCGAGGAGTCCCGGGGACACGCGGTGTACTGAAAATGTGGCCTGGGCAGTGGGCAGAGAATGCACCTAAGAGGCTTCCTGTCGGCCCGTTGCCAGCCTCCTCATGTCGGTGCCCCTGCAGGTGCGGTAGCCAGCAGCGTGGTCAAGCAGAAGCTGGCTGAGGTGATCCTGAAGAAGCAGCAGGCGGCCCTTGAGAGAACAGTCCATCCCAGCAGCCCCAGTATTCCCTACAGGTGGTTCACTGTTCCTCAGGTCCTTTCTGTACCCCTTCTTCTCTCCGTACTCAGCTGTGAGTGTGCTCACTCGTGTGTTTAGGGCCCCTGTCCTCCCCAACACCTACCACCTACTTCTTACTGTGCCCCTAAATCCCCTAAGTCCCCCTCCACGAGCACCTGCCTCCTCTCCTTTTTAGTTGTCTCCCCTGAGGCCCTTTATGTGCGCACAAGTCCTGGTTCCTAGTAAAGGCCCCTACCACGGGAGACACCGAGTCTCCAGCGGGCCCTAAGCGCCCAGGCCTGGGTTTTATACCTGGAGCAGAACATCTGCATTAGCGTGGGTGACTCACTACTGCCACCTGGAGATGACTCCTGTCGTGCTGGCTCCAGGCTGCCCAGCTCTGTTGGTGGCTAATTTCCTGGCGCGCGCGCGGGGGTTGGGGGGGGTGGGGGGGGGTCGGGGGGGGCATCTGTGCAGAGTGAGATTTCAGGGCCTTGGGGCGTCAGGGGCTTCTGAAGTAGCCTTGACGCTCACCCTGCAGAACTCTTGAGCCCTTGGATACAGAGGGTGCTGCCCGCTCCATGCTTAGCAGCTTCCTGCCTCCAGTGACCAGCCTGCCCACTGAAGCCCCGGAACACTTTCCCCTGCGTAAAACAGGTGAGCGGGGGCAGACCTTTGCAGGGTTGGAGGAGGCGATGGGCCTTAGATTTAGGTCAGGAGTATGGGGTTGAGGGAGGCCTGGGACGGTGTCGTCGTCCTCCCCCCCCCCCCCCCTTTGCCTTTTTTCTTTTTAACCCATAGAGGTGACTGGGAGGGAAATTAAAGGGCACAGAATAGGCCTGGGGTGGTGGTGCACGCCATTCGTCCCAGCACTCAGTAGGCAGAAGCAGGTGGATCTCTGTGAGTTTAAGGCCAGCCTGGTCTATGTTGTGAGACCCTGTCTCAAAAAAAAAAAAAAAAAAAAGGAGAAGAGAAGGGTAGCTGGCATAGTGATGGGGTGGCACCCCTTCCTCCACAGTGTCTGAGCCCAACCTGAAGCTGCGCTATAAGCCCAAGAAATCCCTGGAGCGGCGCAAGAACCCCCTGCTTAGAAAGGAGAGTGCCCCGCCCAGCCTTCGGCGGCGGCCTGCGGAGACCCTTGGAGGTGAGGGCCAACAGGGCCACGGAGTTGCCCTCCTAACCCCTGCTGGTGTCCCTTGGGACCAGGTTCCACCCAGATGGAAGTTCCCACGTGGAACTGCTGGGTGCTGTGCAGAGTGTACCCCACACACCTGCCCGTGAGAGGGCGAGTGGAGGCCAAACCCTAACCCTGTTGGGTCTGTTCAGTCGACGTTTGCTGGGGAAATGGGAGCTACAGTAAAAACAACGGCTGAAGATGTCATAGGCTGGTGGCGGTTTGGCAGCTTTCTGTTCCTCTAGGAAGAAAGCAGAAATACATCCCAGGAGGGGAGGAACTGTGCCCGGGAATCCTGCCCAGGGTTGACCACTCCCGACCCTGACTACGCCTTCCCTTTTCCTCTCCCCTCAGATTCCTCCCCCAGTAGCAGCAGTACACCAGCCTCGGGGTGCAGCTCCCCCAATGACAGCGAGCATGGCCCCAACCCTGCCCTGGGCTCGGAGGTAAGGCCTTGCTGGGGCTGGGCTTTCCTGGGGCAGTTCCGAGTCCGGGCCTTTTTCTAGCATGTGGGACCTGGCCTGAGGCTTCAGGGTGTGGGCAGCCCCTAGCAAGGCCTGTTGGGTGTTCTGGGGACAGGCATGCCAGGGGTAGAGTTCCAGGACTGGTGACCCGTCACCCTGCTCCTCATGGCAGGCGCTCTTGGGCCAGCGGCTGCGGCTGCAGGAGACTTCTCTGGCCCCGTTCGCTTTGCCGACCATGTCCTTGCTGCCCGCAATCACACTGGGGCTGCCTGCCCCTGCCAGGGTGAGTGGCTGGGGCGCCCTGCCCCCACTCCACACTCCTCCAGCCTCTTTCCTGTCTCTGTCCTGTTGCCTGTCCTTTTCTTCCTCATCCGGAATCCCGTCCAACTCTGACTTCTTACCTTTCTTTCAGGCTGATGGTGACCGCAGGACCCATTCGACTTTGGGCCCTCGGGGTCCTGTCCTGGGGAACACCCATGCTCCGCTTTTCCTGCACCATGGTCTGGAGCCAGAGGCTGGGAGCACCTTACCCTCTCGCCTGCAGCCCATTCTCCTGCTGGATCCCTCAGTCTCCCATACCCCACTGTGGACTGGTGAGTCTTGCTGCTTCTCCCAGAATGGGCAGGATTTGTGCACCCTGCCAAGGGGCCGGGCCCTGGGAAAGACCCGCCTCCTAGTCCCTCATTGTGTGTCTCCCCCTGCAAAGCCCTGCCTCTACTCCATGCCCCGCCTCTTTCCTGGCTCCCAGGACCCCTTCCTTACACATGTCCCATTCTTTCCAGTGCCTGGGCTTGGGCCCTTGCCCTTCCATTTTGCCCAGCCCTTACTGACCACCGAGCGGCTCTCTGGGTCAGGCCTCCACCGGCCACTTAACCGGACCCGCTCAGAGCCCCTGCCCCCCAGCGCCACTGCCTCCCCTCTGCTGGGCCCCCTGCAGCCCCGCCAGGATCGGCTCAAACCTCATGTCCAGCTGATCAAGGTGAGAGGAACTGGGTAGGGGAGGTGCTGAGGGCATGCCCAACTAAGCCCCTGTGGGTTGGAAGAAGGGCGCAGAGCGGGGGAGGGGAGAGGCCTGGAGGACAGGAGAAGTGGTTGCTGGGGACCTGACAAGATGAGGCTGCGGCCTCACCCAACCCATGCCCTGCCACCCACCCTCCTCTCTATCCCACTTCTCAGCCAGCCATCTCCCCTCCCCAGAGGCCTGCCAAACCCAGTGAGAAGCCCCGACTGCGTCAGATACCCTCAGCAGAGGACCTAGAGACAGACGGTGGGGGAGCAGGGCCTGTGGCAAACGATGGCCTGGAACATAAGGAGTCAGGCCACGGGCCTCCCTCGGGCAGATGCCCTGTTTCTCTGCAGCAGCACCAACAGGTATGGCTGTGCCCAAGGGCTCTGCAGAAAGTTCGGGGCTTCATAGGATGGGGAAGGGAAGGGGATACCATAAGACCCACACCAAAGTGCGAATGCATAGATGCATGTGTGTGTGTGTGTGTGCGCGCGCGCTCGCATACTCCAGCAGTCTGCTTTCTCAAGTAGACCCTGTTCCTATGCCTGCTTCTTGGCTTTTCACAGAGCCACGCATGCTCCTTCCTTCACACTTCTCCCTACAACTGCCTGTCCTTTAGTCCTGGCTGTCCTGGAACTCACTTTGTAGACCAGGCTGGCCTCAAACTCAGAGATCCGCCTGCCTCTGCCTCCCAAGTGCTGGGAGTAAAGGCGTGCGCCACCACTGCCTGGTCTGACTGTCCTTTTTAATCCCAAGGTAGCTGGGAGAAAAAGTAGACATTAGTCCCCTGGGTTGTAGAGAAATAGCATGGGGGTGAAGGCAGCGTTCATTTGCCAGGGCCCTGCAGCAGGGACTGCACACACAAGGGCCTTGAAAGGCACTTACTGGTCACCTTGATGCTTTGAAGGCCGAAAAGGTGAAATCAAGGGTTGTGTGTTCTGAGGGCTGTGAAGGAAGGCGTGTCTGGAGGCCTCTGCTCAAATTCCCTTCTTACAAGGACAGCAAACCTCTTCAAATGAAGACTTGATTTCCTCCTGCTGAGAACCTGTCTCCAGAGATGGGGGAGTCTTAAGACTTTATGAATTTGGGAAACAGGATTCTACCAACAGCACTTGGTGGTGACATTTCACCCACGTGTAGTATCTCAGGCAGGTCCCCTTGTAGGTAGTAGTAGCACAGTTCTAGGAGAGGTGATCTCCGTCAGCATAGACTCAAGGGCCCGAGGAGTTCTTGCAAAATCAGGGCATCGGTCTGGGTGTGGGTCTTCAGGGAGCTCGGAGAGTTGGAAGGCCAGAGCACCCATCTGGAACTTTTCTGGAAAAGGGGGTCTATCTGAGAAACTGGAGACTGGCGGGGTTTCTTTCAGGTGCCTCTCTGGGAGCAGCAGCATCTCGCTGGGCGGCTCTCCCAGGGAAGCCCCGGGGACCCTGCGCTGCTACCTCTGGCCCAGGCAGGACACCGGCCCCTGTCCAGAACCCAGTCTTCCCCAGCGGCACCTGTCTCCCTGCTGAGCCCAGAGCCCACCTGTCAGACTAAAGTCCTCAACAGCTCAGAGACACCTGCCACAGGTAAGACCAAAAAGAGACTCAGGGAGGCAGAAGGAAGTGGCTGGGTCGTGAGTCCGTGACTGTGGGCCGGCTTTCAGACAGTTCCAGAGGCCATAGAGCACTAACCGAATCTTGTCTGAGCTCCGTGGTGCCGATGAAGTAGGTGAGGACATCATGACTCAGGAAGCCTAAGTTGACAGTGACTTATGGTTAAGCGACAGAACCGGCAGCTGGGCCAGGATAGGACTTTGAGTCCCCTTCTACCGTGACCAACCCTTTTAAAACAAAAGCAGCCTTTTGTTTTGGTGGTGGCGCACGCCTTTAATCCCAGCACTCGGGAGGCAGAGGCAGGCGGATCTTTGTGAGTTCAAGGCCAGCCTGGTCTAGATGAGCGAGATCCAGGAAAGGCGCAAAGCTTCACAGAGAAACCCTGTCTCGAAAAACCTAAAAAAAAAAAAAAAAAAAAAAGCAAAACTATTACTTACTATTGCTGTACTCGTAAAAGGAACTCAAAAGTATTTCAAACATTTCGAGAAATATCGGGAAATATAAGAATGAAAAAATCACCAAGTATCTTATTGCCTTGAGCTCTGTGTATTTCATTCCAGGCTTTAGGTAGCCTCCGTACCTCTCTAATGTCACAGACATGTGAGCTGTACTTTGCATCGTGCTTGACTGAGTCCTTTTTAACTTTTGCTGATGGTGCTAGGAATTCAAGTACTAGAATTACAGGTGTGAACCACCATGCCCAGCTCAGTTTTAATTTTTATCTTTCCTTTTGTTTTTGTTTGTTTGTTTTTATTTTGGTTTGGTTTTTGAGACAGGGTTTCTCTGTGTAGCCCTGGCTGTCCTGGAATTTGCTCTGTAGACCAGGCTGGCCTCGAACTCATAGAGATCCGCCTGCCTCTGCCTCCTGAGTGCTGGGATCGAAGGCACGCACTGCCACCGCCCGACTTTGGTTTTAATTTGCTTTGTTGTTATTTTTTGAGATAGGCTCTCACTATGAAGTCCTGGCTGGCCGGGAACTCACAAGATCCACCTGCCTCTGCCTCCCGAGTGCTGGGGTTAAAGGTGTGGGTCATCATACCTGTCCTTGAATTTTCTTATGTGTCCGTCTGTACTTCTGTCCGGGATTCTCTCTCCAGGGTCACTCTTAAGGAGTGGCATTCCTGGGTCAAATAGTGTGAGCATTTTGAAAGTCTCCGGTGTCTTGAGATGTGTAGACAGTGACCCTCCCACTAGCAGTGTGCAGGTACAGGGCCTGTTTCTGGAGATGTTCCTTGGGGTAGGCTGAAATCCAGGCCTTTTGTCGTCCCTCCGAGAGTTGATTCTAGGACCCCAGCCTGCCTGATACACAGATGCTCAAGTCCTTCATGTAAAACGGCATAGTATTTGCGTTTAACCTATGCATACCTTTCCACATATTTAAATCACGTCTGTTTTGCTTTTAATACCTACCCAGTGCAATGCAGATGCTATGTAAATAGTTTCCATGCTGTTTGCATATTGTTTACAAGGTAAACCAGTTTTCTGCGTGTTTTCCATGTACAGTTGGGAGACTGACCACACGGCCAGTAACATCGTGGGTACCCCCTCTTCCAGTCTTGAGGGTTCCCTGGGATTGCTTTTCCTCTCTGTGTTGGGACACAAACCCTCTCTGGGTTTGTGACACCCAGAGTGAGATGTCCTGTGTTAAATCTCTCTGGGTTTAGGGCATGAACTCTCAAGGGCATAGGAGATATGTTGGGCCTTATGGGGAGTAAGCGTACCAAGAAGGCAGGGGTCCTGCAGAGCAAGATGGGCAGGCACTGCCCTGGTGTGTCTGTCAGGTTGTCGGAGGCATCTAGGCATGTGCATAGGGAAACGGGGCTAGCTCTCCACAGAAGGGCTGGGAAGGGAATGCAGACACCTGTGTCAGTAAGGGCTCTGTGGGTGTGGGTTGTTCTCCATCCGAAGCTGTGGTGGAGTTCCCCCCTGCCCCCACCCTCCAGCCTACCCCCCACCCCTCACCTTTCCAGCCCTGATGGCCGTTTCTTGCAGGGCTGGTCTATGATTCAGTGATGCTGAAACACCAGTGCTCCTGTGGAGATAACAGCAAACACCCCGAGCATGCAGGCCGCATCCAGAGCATCTGGTCCCGGCTGCAGGAGCGGGGTCTCCGCAGCCAGTGTGAGGTGAGGCAGTGGGGCTGTGCAAGGGAGGGGGGTGAGAGGCCTTGGGGGTCAACAAGGGATGAGAGAGTGGGTGGTCTGGTGGTGGCAGGAGGGTGAGCAAACCTCAGGAGCTCTGTGGGCCCTTCCTCAGTGTCTCAGAGGCCGAAAGGCCTCCCTAGAGGAGCTGCAATCAGTCCATTCTGAAAGGCATGTGCTCCTCTACGGCACCAACCCCCTCAGCCGCCTCAAACTGGATAACGGGAAGCTGACAGGTAGGGGAGGGAGATGGATGATGTCTGGCCCCGAATCACCCCGAGCTTGCCCATCTCACCCACTTCTGTGTTCTTGCCTCAGTTGTACCCGGCTTCCTGGACATCCCTATGCCAGTTTGCTGCCCTGGTGTTGTCCGTGGGTCCCGTCTGCACACCCCCCCACCCCACCCCACCCCTGCTGCCTATCTCCTGGATTGCTTCTCCCTCCTCTTAGGGCCTCTGTGCTCCCCACTCACGTGACCTGGGTCTCTCCCCACAGGACTCCTGGCACAGCGGATGTTTGTGATGCTACCCTGTGGCGGGGTTGGGGTAAGTATGCCCAGAGATCTCAAGTGGACATTGCCAAGGGCTTTCAGCCTTCCGTTCGGTTTTCTTGGCCCACTCCTGCCCCTCTGCCACCTATGACTTGTGGTTCTTCCAGACTGGGTAGGTCAGGGTCTTTCCCATTATGCTCTTCTGCTGGCTGGAAGCTCCTTAGGATAGATGTAGCCCAGTCCCGTTAGCGTCCCGTGAGTGTGGAGTGAGCCCAGTGCCTCACAGTTAGAAGGTATTTGGTGGATGTTGAGTGAGGCTCAAGGCAGGGTCACATTAGGGCTTGAGATTGTGTCCCAAGAGTTGGCAGCTCTACCTGCCCAGGACTGGGCCTCTCTCAGGCACTTGAGGTGTGCCCTACTTGACCTCCAGACCCCAACTGGACTGCCCAGTGTGGGGCTATGGGGTGCCTCCCATGTTCTTAGAGGTTGAGAACTTCCCTACCCAGGACACAGCCTTCCAGCCCCCCAGCTTTGCTCACCTCTCCCTCACCTGGTAGAGAGGTCTTTCTGCTACCTCTGGCATGGCCCTCCCTGCCTCAAAAGGCCCCTGTCATGGTGCCAGACAAGGTGTGTGGAGGAAAGATGGAGGCTGAGTACGGGAAGGCAGTGGGAGCTGCCGGGGGGGCTGCTGGGGAGACAGTCAGTGCCCTGCTCACAACTCCCCATTCCTGCCACTTTCTGGTTTTTCCAACTGTTGTTGCTTCTGTCTCCTCCCCCCCCTCCTCCCTCTCTGTCCTTCTCTCTCTCTCTCTCTCTCTCTCCAGCCTCTTGCGAAACTTTCTGCCTTCCTCGCCTTCTCTCGGTCCGCCTCGCCCTTCCCATCTCCCCATCATGGCCCCCGGCCCCTCCCTAGCCTTGAGGCCCAGGGACTGGGTTTGGGGGGCCTCCCAGCCTGGGCTAGGGGCCCTGAGTGGAAGACAGTGGTGCAGACGGCCCCTCCAGCTCCGACCATCCCGCAGGGCCTGAGCAGAATCAGCTGGGGCTTAAAACCCCTCCCGGCCCAAACCCCAATCCCGCCCAGGTAACGCCATGCCCCCTCCCCTGACTGGGGAGGCAGAGTGCTGGCCACACACGAGCTGGTGCTGGGAAGAAATCCTGCTGGGACTGGGGGACACAGGAGGCCTTGCCTTTGGGCGGTGGGGCACTGGGGAGGCAGCTTTGTCTGCCCAGCTCCCTGCCCCTGGGGTCCTGGCCATGGGGTGGGTACTGCCTCACTGGGCCCTGTCTCCTGTGGAAAGCATAGGATGATGCAGTCCCTGACCCTGGCCCCCACAGGTAGACACTGACACCATCTGGAACGAGCTGCATTCCTCCAATGCAGCCCGCTGGGCCGCGGGCAGCGTCACCGACCTTGCCTTCAAAGTAGCTTCCCGAGAGCTAAAGGTAGGATTAAAGGCTGGCAAACCACAGAGGAGGTGCCGGGGTGATGGTGGCGGGTCCAGATCCCAAGCCTCAGACCTCTCATTCCTTGTGGGTATTGCTACAAGGTTTTGAAAGGGAAATCAGGGCTGAAACCAAGGTGAGGCTTGACCCCTAAGTTCATGTCACTTAGGTAATCAAGCCACTCGGCACTAGGGCTGTGGTGACTTAGACGGTCCTGACCATCAGACATCACTTAAGGCCTGTTTCGTGGCTATAGGTGCATCATGGCCATTTTTGAGTACCACAGGCCCGTTGGCTCCTTTTAGTGATGGGATCCTGCATATTAGGTCGGGGTTATGCTCATTGCTCTAAGATCGGTGCTTTGGGGTGATCGGCCTGAAGCTCACAGCCTCATTGTCTGAGAGCTCATAGGCCGAGGCAGGCCTGTGCCCTTGGCCTCGTAAGGGCTTGGCGGCACTTGGCAATCGCCCCGATTTTAAAATTCCGGCACTGCCATTTGCAGCCACGTAACGTGGGTTATTTAATTCCCTGTGGCTTGGGTTCTCATCTATAAACTGGGGGTGGTAACATTTATGATCTAGAGGTTCTGTGAGAGGCAAATGCGGTATATAGGAAGTGTGTGGACACTCCGGTGGGATGCTGGCACTCATGCCTTTGACTCCTCAGGGCAAGAGGCTGGGACGAGAACCAGGCTCAGGCAAATGTGGGTGGAGAGGTGGGTGGCTGTTTGAGTGATACGTGCCTTGTCCCTTCCAGAACGGTTTTGCTGTGGTGCGGCCCCCAGGACACCACGCAGATCATTCCACAGCCATGTAAGGCGATGGGAAGGCGGGCCTGTGTGGTGTGAGGTGGGGGCAGCCTCCAGAGCCTTCCCGTAGGGGGAAAAGGGTGGGGATGGACTGGCCGGACCCTCTCTCCTTCCCCCAGGGGCTTCTGCTTCTTCAACTCCGTGGCCATCGCCTGCCGACAGCTACGAGAGCAAGGCAAGGCCAGCAAGATCCTCATTGTTGACTGGGTAGGTCCTGGTTCCTGGTGTCACCAGACCGAGGCCTGCCGGCAGAACCCGGAGGGAGGCTGGCCTTAGAGATGTGCCTGCAGGTCCGAGTTTGGCATTAGCCTCTACCTCATCAAAGTCTGGGAGAATGCAGCACCCATATCATAGAACCGTCAGGAGGCCCAGAAAGATGGTTTGTGGGAGGTGCTGGTGTTCACAGACTTCTGCCTATGCGGGGGTCGGGGGTTCTCATGTGCCGTCTTTAGCCTCTGTTGGCTTCTTTTTGGCAGAGCGAGCCATTTCCTCTCCACACAGTCACCATACCAGCCGTATCTGATAGCATCAGTCTGTCAGTCATATCTAGACGCTGACAATTTTATATCTGGTCCTGACTGTCACCCATTTCACAGATGAGGAAAGTACACACAGAGGTGACTGTCTTAAGTAGTCACTCACCTCATGAGATGTAAGACCAAGATCGGAGCCCAGGCCAGTTAGCTCTAGAGTGTATGCATCTAACTACCGTGTCTCATCTGCATGGACAGGTGGGAAAGGAGCATTTCTAGGCAGACGCTGAGAACAGTGGGGGGATTTTGCACATAGGAACCTGTGTGTGGTCTTGTGAGTCGAAGGCAGAGCCCAGCACTTCCTAGAGGACTGAGTCTGGGTCCCTTTAAGCTCGATCACTGACCACATGATCCGCCTCATGACTTTGTGCAAGGAAGACTATGTCTACACAGAGATGATTTATACATCTCTCTCTTTCACATACACACACAACTCACAACTCACACACATATACACGTGACTCATACACACACACACACACACACACACACACACACACACACACACACACACAATCTATATAGAGAGTCTTTGCCAGGTTTGGTGACAGTAATCCCAGTACTTGAGAAGCAGAGGCAGGTGGGTCTCTGTGAGCTCAAGGCCAGCCTGGTCTACATAGTGAGACCCTAGCTCAAGACAGGACGTCTTTCCATGTGGAGAGGTGGATCCCTGCCAGACAGTAGATTACTTGGGGCAACTCAGTCATGTGATCCTAGAAACTGTGGTTTCCTGACCTACGTCAGCCTAACATCCCAGTACTCGGAATGGTACCGACCTTGAAATCCTTCCAGTGTGCCCTTACCCCCATCTTTCTGCTTCTGGACCTCCCCTGATCAACTGTCTGCTGTGTTGTGCAGGATGTTCACCATGGCAACGGCACACAGCAAACTTTCTACCAGGACCCCAGCGTGCTCTACATTTCCCTGCATCGCCATGATGGCGGCAACTTCTTCCCAGGCAGTGGGGCTGTGGATGAGGTAACTGCCTGCTGGGCTGGCCTCTTCCGGCACATTCCTTTTCTTCCTGGACCCTCTCTGCCCCCGGCTTGTGTGGTCCTGAGCAAGCGGCTAACCCTTTCCGGTCCTCGGCTTCTGGAAGTGAAGGAGTTAGATGAACTTGGGACTGTTCTCCTCATGTCTTCCTTCCGTCTCGTGTTCCAGGTGGGGACCGGCAATGGTGAAGGCTTCAATGTCAATGTGGCTTGGGCTGGGGGCTTGGATCCACCCATGGGGGATCCTGAGTACCTGGCTGCCTTCAGGTAAGTACTCTGGGGTCTAGAGGGAGCCAGTCCATCTGGACTGCCTCTCCTCCCTTTCCCACAGCCCTGGGTTGGAAGCCGCCAGTTGGCTTGTTAATCTGTTCATGCTTGGTTACTAGACATGGTAAGCCAGCTCCAGTAAGAAAATAGGACATACACAAGAATGAGAAAGTCAGAGTCACACCTCCTGGGGACATTTGGGTAGAGCAAATCTGCCACATTTAGTCAAAGAATGCTGCCTGGAGGTGATGGGGTCTCCGGCGAGAGTAGAAACTTGGTGTCCTTAAATGCTGTCCACAAGGAGGGATGGGTTTACTTTAGACACTGCTCTGGAAAGGGCTTTGGGCTCTTGTAAGGAGTCCTTCACTCCAGTCTGTTTCTAGGGAAAACAGAACCCTACAGTTAGACCCGGAAGTCCTTTTCTGGAGGTTCTCTCCATGAGAATTCATTCTTCAGGTGCCCTGAGTGGGACTTCCTGGTGTCTGTGCCAAGCTTAAATGCCTAAATTGGGACACGAGCGTTGGGTTTGGGGCAGGCAGAGGGAAGAAGATGAAGGATGGAACTTGGCAGCTCAGGGCCTCAGGTCTAGCCGCCCGGGTTCATTCTCAGGTGGCGAGTTGCCTGGCTCAGCTCTAAACTTAGTGCTGAATGTTTCCAGTCCCTGGGGCTTAGTGAGCAGGGCAAGCCCCAGTGCAGCTGGCTGCAAACCACATACTGTGCATGTGAACATGCACGTCTCTCATCCCGTCATAGTAGCCTTTGCTCCGTTCTGCCCCTTGCTGGTGAAATTCTCTGTGTGGCTGGGTTCTGAGGCTGGTGTACCAGAGCCACAGCCAGGGTGATGGAGATCAGGGCCTCGGCTAATCCCATTAGGAGACTGTCTTGGTGCCCTCAGCGAAGTAGGCAGGAGGGGCTAGCATGGGCTGCCGTGTGCCATGTGCTGGGCCCAAGTGGATGACGCCCTCTCCTTGCAACTTCAGGATAGTGGTGATGCCCATCGCCCGAGAGTTCGCTCCGGACCTGGTCCTGGTGTCCGCCGGGTTTGATGCTGCCGAGGGTCACCCAGCCCCGCTGGGTGGCTACCATGTTTCTGCCAAATGTAAGGGGGTCCCCCTGCTGTGGGGGAGATGTGGGGAATAAGAGCCAGGCTGTGTGGGGACAGGAATGTACTGCCAAAATGAAAGGGGCAGGAAGCAGCGGCCACAGTCTAGGGCCACGTGTAAAGTCTGGAGTAGGGCTGCAGGCCCTGGAATTCCCTGGGTTCTCCCAGCCTAGCACAGCACAGGACCAGGCCAGATCTCCATGGGTCAGACCCCTGGAGACTTAGGTCTACCAGATGGAAGTCCAGTTGTAGAAGCCAGGCTTCCAGACTGGGCCATTCGGCTGCTTCAGAGGAAGTTAGAAGAGCCGCGTTCTCAGAACAGACGGTCAGTGCGGTCCACTCTGCCACAGGGCCTGGGAACAAAGAGGTGGCCCAGTGGGAGAGACTGGGGCTGGAGGTGATGATGCTGGCATTCAAGTCTCAGCTGTGGGGTCCAGTATATAAGACCCTTAACTTCTCCGAGCTTGGAATGAAGCCTTATGAATGGGTTTCACATGGGGTTCTCATCTCTAAGACACTGTCTACAGAGCAGGTGGCAAGCAGGGAAATGATAGAGGTCGGGAATGAGTCTGCCTCTCTCTGCTCCAGCCCTCTGCTCTTTCTCCCACCTCACCGTCTAGGTTTCGGGTACATGACACAGCAGCTAATGACCTTGGCAGGAGGCGCGGTGGTGTTGGCCTTAGAGGGTGGTCATGACCTCACAGCCATCTGTGATGCCTCAGAGGCCTGTGTGGCTGCTCTTCTGGGCAACAAGGTGAGCCATCTATATTTGAATGAGGCAGATGAGCCTGACTTTCCCGGGACAAAGAGCAGGGACAGAAGATGAGAAGGGGTGTGGCTGGGACGAGATGGTAGAGTGGAAACCTTCCCGGGTCAGGTCCAGGGCCAGTGTCTTCTGACATCAGAGAGCCAGCAGCTCATGTCTGTCCGTGCAGGCTGAGCCTGGGATCCCTCGGGTCTCTGATGGAGTGTTTCTGTAGGTGGATCCCCTTTCAGAAGAAGGCTGGAAACAGAAACCCAACCCCAATGCCATCCGCTCTCTGGAAGCTGTGATCAGGGTGCACAGTGAGTTTTGACCTGGGATACTTGTTGGGTCCAAACTTGGGAGAGCCTCCAGGGCCCACCATCCCACTGGCAGAAGTCTCAGAGATCCAGTGCCAGCCAGGCCGGAGGCACACTGACAGCCTCAAATAGTATTCCCAGGAACCACTCCAGGAGTAATGGTGGGCATATCCCCATGAGTGGGTAGCCTCTCAGCCCTCCAGTTGGACCCAGCATGGACATAACAGTGGCTTCCTTATGGCCGGGACTGGCCTCCCATCTCTGGCTATAATCTTGGGCCAGGGGCCACGCTGACACCACCACTCAGGCCTTGTTTGCCAAGGAGGCTTAGTTTAACCTCATCAGTGCTGGTCACAGTGACTGCAGAGCTGTGGGGAGGGCCTACCTGGGTCTCAGAATATAACCCACATTTGGAAAACGTGTTAAAAAGATTTAACTTCAACCAGGCATCTATCTGTTGAGCACTTTCTGTGAAGGCCCCAAACCTCCACTGGGATACGAAGATGAATAAAGCAGACTCCCCACATCCGGGGCTCGGTTGGAAATCAGACACATAGCCACAGATACAGCTGCCTACGGAACCTCCCATGGGCCAGCTCTGCACTGAGCTGGTCCATGTCTATCACTGTCTCAGAACAGCAGGATGATGAGTGTTCCATGGACCAGAAGTGGCTGTGCAGAGCAGCCGTGGGGATGCCTGCCCCTGCTCTGTGCCATGATTGTCTTACCTTCCCCCCACCCTCCCTTTTGAGTACTAGTGATTGAACCCGGGGTCTTACACATGCTAGAATTTCACTCTACTGCTGAGCTGCAGCCCCAGCTCTTGGGTTGTTTAGTTTTGTTGGATACAGGGTCTCACTGTGTAGCCCAGGCTACCTTCTTAGTATGTGAGCCTCCTACCCTCAGCCTCTACCTGCTGGAATTACTTTACTACCATGCCTAGCCTCCTAGGGGTAGCCTGAGCACTATGGAGGCCACATGAGGGGGACCCTGTGCTCTAGGAAACCAAGGCACAAGGGCATATGAGCAAGTGTTGACATAAACCTGATGTAGGGACAAGTGGACCCTCCTGGTGCTTTTAGAATCCACACACCTATGGAATGGTCTTTTATTATTTATTTTTGATTTTTGAGACAGGGCCTATATAGCCCTGGCTGTCCTGGAACTCATTATATAAACCAGACTGGCCTTGAACTCAGTGATCCGACTGCCTCAGCCTTCTGAGTGCTAGGATTAAAGGTGTGTGTCTGGTTTACTTTATATTTTTTAATTATTTTTTTTATGTGTGGAGGTATTTTGTCTGTGTGTATGGCCATATACCATGTGCATACAATGCCCTTATAGGCCAGAAGAGGGCATCAGAATCTCTAGACCCCAAGTTTCAGAATGTTTTGTGCTACCATGTAGATGCTGAGAATCAAACCTAGGTCCTCTAGAAGAGCAGCCAGTGCTCTTAACTGCTGATCTAATCTCACCAGCCCTCTAGGGTGGAATTTTAGCCAAGGAGGGTAGGAAAGGGGCTTGGTTATCTGTGAAGATAGCCTCATAGCCATGTTGAATCTGCTGTTACCCAGGGCTGTAGGGAATGGGTAAGTTGGGAGATGTCTTGCTGAGAGGTGAGGGCAGGAAGGGGAGTTGACCCCAAGCTGATGATGTGGCCACTATTCTTGGGCTCTGGGCCCGTGACCCTAGCTTTGGTATCAGTCTAGGTTATAGCTCAAACAGCTTGTCTTTCTGACCCAGCTTCTTGTCCTAGGGAAATACTGGGGCTGCATGCAGCACTTGGCCTCCCGTCCAGATTCTTGGCTGCCCAGAATGCCAGGGGCTGATGCAGAAGTGGAAGCCGTGACCGCACTGGCGTCCCTCTCCGTGGGCATCCTGGCTGAAGACAGGTAATGCCAGACCCCCAGCCCTAGGCCCATGGCCTTCTAATGCCTTTGGATCCTCCCAACTTGAAGACCCCAGACTCTCATGCAGCTAATAGTCTCACGCCTTTGAAGTAGGGCTGTGAGGGTAAGGCCACTAAGGCCCTGCCCGCAGCTCTCTGGCCTTCCAACATCCTGCCCTTGCCCCACCCACTCAGGCCCTCAGAGCAGCTGGTGGAAGAGGAAGAACCTATGAATCTCTAGGACGTCAGGACAGATCACCTACCCTTCAGACGTGGCTTTCCTCACCTGTCAACCCTGTTCCTGGGTCTGCAGAGACCCTCTGGGCAGGTAGTCAGGTCCAGAGCACAACCTACCCTGACAGCTACCCCAGGGAACTTGAGAAGGCCACTGGGTCTGGGATGGGGACCAGGAGGGATCCTGGGAGGAGGCAGGCTGGGCACTAGGGCTCAGCTGGACTCTTCTAGAACAGACCCAGCCCTCTGGTGTCCAGGCCCCTAGCTGTGGCCTCCATCCCTCAGGACTGCACAGAGGAGGGCTGCTTCAGGTGGGCCCACCACTACCACTATTCTTAACTTGGAAGACCCCAGGTTTTGCACACCGCCCCAGGCTCCATACAGAAATGTGAACTTGGCCTCAGCCAGGGCGGCCCTTCCCAGGTTCTGAAGGGCTAGGGGAAGAGGAGGAGCCACGGGTCCCCTATTCCTGAGTACAGGAGAGTCCCTCTCACCTCCTCCTCAGTTGTCCTCTGGTAGTACTTCTGGGCTCAGAGAGCCATTCTGAGCTGTTCTCTCCCTGTGAGTAGTCAGTCACCAGCAAGCCTCCCATCTGGTCACTGTTCTGCCAGAGGCCACCCTATGTGGACCATCTCAGTGCCCTGGTGCAGCAGACAGGTGCTCTCCGAGTCCTGTGCTTCCTGACCCAATGGTGCCAAACCTTCATCTCCCCTTAAAAGCACAACACAGTCCCAGGGATGCCTGGCCATTGCTCCCAGTGTGAGCCTGCCTTCTGTTTCTGGGGTTTCCCCCACCTCAGCTCTGACTGCTGCTCCACATAGGACTAGCTTGGCAGAGGCGGGATAAGGTAGGGGAGTAGAAAAACATGGAGGCGGGGAGGCCCCCCCCCAGAAGTCTTCAAGGCTTTTGCGGTCTAGGCCTGGGGCCAAGAAAGAGTATTTGTGCGTATGTGTGTGCGCGTGTGCGTGCAAGAGTGTGTGCGTGTATGTCTTCCCAAGACCTGCCATACCTTGTGTATGTATGCATGTTTTTGTAAAAAAGGAAAAAAAAAGGGAAAAAAAAAAACCTGAACAATAAATGTTTTATTTGCTTTAAAGGCCCTGTGAGTACGCCTCCTGGATGTTAGTGAGACATCATCAGTGGGGTGGGTGTGCACCCGGCACCCTGCAATGGGCTGAGAAAGGGGGCAAGTTTGGGCCGAACTCAGACTCTCTAGTCCCTTACCCTCCCACGGCTACTGCATGCAGGAAGACCCCACTCCAAATATATGCTTACCACCAACCCAGGTGAAAAAGGAGATGATGCCGGGCTGAGCCCTACAGACTGGGCCCTGTGGGATATGGGACAAGTTCTCAGGCTCCATTTGCCAAGACACTCCAAAAGGTCATGAAGCACACACCTGGGCTTCAGTCCTGCTGTGTCTGTAGTCGTTGCCTCCTGGATCTTTCAGTAAATGGCCCTAGATGTGGACATGGCTTCTGGTTCCTTACCATGACGTTTTAAGCATATATTGTAAAGTAAAAGGATGGATGAGACAAGAGGCCAGAAAAAACGTGCCCAGAATAACCAGGGGTCGGGGGGTAGGGAGGTATTGCCAGCTCCTGTCTTTCTGGTTCTAAGTCTGCCCAGCCTGGTCACCATATACCTTGGAGCCCCAAGCAGTCTGTTTGGAGTAGGAGGGGGGAACAAAAAAAGATTCCCTTTCTCTGACCTAGGGGGTGGACATGGAATCTGCAGGGGATGCTGAGGCTGTGAGCATCCTAGCCCCATAGGGCAGGGCTGGGGGAGCAAAGGAGGTCTGAGTTAGTGGTCTCCTCATGCCAAGAGGGCAGGCTGCCCGCTTGCCCAGAGCTTACCTTAGAGATATAATCAGACAGGTAGAGCCCCCACCTCGCCCACTCATACAGTCCCCTCTCAAGACGCCCCCCCCCCCAAAGAAACACCCTGAGGCTGATAAAAATGGCCGCTGTATTTCTGCTAAAGTGACAGTGTAAGGCAGAGAGCGAGGGGCAGGACCCTGGTGGAAAAATGGACGTGCAAAATGGCAACCTAACAAGAAAGGATAAATGTGGCAGCCCCTGCCCTCCCTCTCTACTTAGGTAAGGCCTTGGGCCCATGTCCATTCAGGAGAGAGATGAGCGTCAATGTTGGGGTTCGGTGCAGGGAGAGGTCCTCGTGGTCGGGGTGGTCTGGTGCAGTGAGGGTCAGGTGAGCGTGCAAGGCTGGAGACTCAGGAGTAGAGGTGTAGTGCTCTCTCTGGCCCCCACCAGCTTGCCCTCTTATCCCAAAGCCCTTCTAGGTGCATGGGTGTGTTTCCTGTGGTCCTCAGGTCCAGCCTCATCGGCGGAGTCCAGCTCTGGTAACGTGTGGTCACCTGTGCATGTGTGTGACACAGGAATGGTTGGCTGGCTCTAGCACCCTCGTGGGAAACAAAACTCTGGAGGGAAGGGTAGGGGGAGAGACACTGGGTTCTGTTCAGTCTTGCAGCTTGGGGACAGAGCCAACTGTCACTTCCCTAGGGACTGATGGATTCAGCTACCTGACCCTTGAGGACAACAGGATGGAGGTGCTGGGGTGGGATTTGGAGATCTCTACTGGAGATTCCTTACTTGGTCAAACCTTTCCAGATGCCTCCCACACACGCGGCTTCAATGAAGTCTAGGCAGCAAGGAAGCCTATCTCCAACCCTGCCACTCACCAGACGTTCAGACCTCACAGTCCTACCCCTTGACACCTTGAGTTCATTATTGTGTCCCTACTTACAAAGATTTCTCAGAGTGCTAAGAAAATAGATCCATTTGGAAAGGTCTAAGCTGCCCATTAGCCTGGCTAATGGGCAGATTGGCAGTGCCCCTTCAACAGTTCTGTCTCCCCAAAAAGGGGACCAGACAGCTTTCTGGGAAACTGAACTGGCCCTGCTGGATATGCTCTGCCATGGTTCTGGAGTCCCCCAGGCTCACTTGATGACTCAGAAGCTGAGTACCAGTCCTGAGGGACCCCAGGCTGGGGTGACCTCATTCCCTGGGTCAGAAATCACTGAGGATGCTGATGTCAGCGAAGTCAGCCCGGTAGCGGTGGGCGTAGAGGCTGAGGAGGAAGGCCCACTTGAAGGAGATGAAGCTCCAGACGCAGGAGAGGTAGTAGCTGGTTGGGTCTTTGAGACCTGCAGGGGAGAGGCGCCAGATGGTAACTTGAGAGATCTACCCATACCACACAGCCGGCCACAAGGCCAGGACCCCCCTTCCTTCCCACTCCACATCCCTATAGCCTCCGGGCCTCTGAACCAATGCAAATGAAAGACTGGTGCTTAGCGCAGGTTTAGGGCACCCCTGCATGTGTAGTCACAAAGCTGGGGCATGAGAGGAGGTCAGAGTTCGCCTGAAGGTCTGTACCATCCACTCCCCTTTTGTGGCACACACAGGCCACTTCCAACCTGCATCAGACAGGGGACGGCCTCTGGCTACTTCTTATTAGAGCCACCAGAGGGTGCTGCCCTCCTGGAGCTAGGCAGAGAATAAAGGACCCCAGCAACTCTGGGGTGGGAGGTGATCATGTGGGCCACGCTTGTCCCTAATACTTCCCACCAGTCTGGAATCCTCCTGTCCCTGAGGAGGTGTGGGCTCCCGTCCTCCCGATTTTAACAGTCAGGAACCCCGGCAGGGGAGGTCAAGTGATACATTCAGTCCCTAGAATAGCACTTACAGAAACTGGACAGGAGTCCCAGGGTATAGTCCCAGGTTGCTCCGTACCCCGGAGCCCTCCCCTCTTCCTCCTTTCCCTGGACGGTCCTTACTCTGGTGCTGGGTGATGGCCAGTGCCAGGAAGGTGCAGAAGGCAGAGACGGAGACGGCTGAGAAGAGAATACCCACGAGGAAGAAGCCCCGCAGCCCTTTGAGCCAGGTCCTCCAGTAGTCCTGCATGTACATCACATGAGTCACCAGGACCCACAATGCCAGGACACCTGCCGGGACAGACTCAGTCAGCACGACCCAGGCACTTGCCTGCCATGTTGTAGCCCCCTCTCACTCGGCCTAGAGACCCAGGGGCCCCGATACTAGGGCCCTTAAGTCCACTCGGCCAGATCTACTCACACAGTGACACTAAGAAGACTGGCCCTTATGACAGTGGCGTGATGTCTATGGGATGGGATGTTACCACTTTAACATGGAAGCATGGGAGTTCAGCTGCCTTCCAGAAAGCCAAGCATTAAAGAGATTTGTGGAGAACAAAACCATGCCATTCTTGGTAATTTTTACTTTCACCAACTTTCTCCTCCTTTCCCCCTTCTCCTCCTCTTCTACTTCTTTTGACAGAGACAAGGTCCTTTTCTGTTGTAGAATAACATTGTAAGGGGTGTTACTTTCGTTTCTGCTGCATTTGTTGAACTCTGTGAAGCTGTGTTACTGTGCCTGTCTAAAACACCTGATGGTCTAATAAGGAACTAAAAGGCCAATGGTGAGGCAGGAGAGAGAAACAGGCAGGGCTGGCAGGCAGAGAGGATAAATCAAAGTAGAAATCTGGGTAAGAGGGGAGGAAAGAGATGGAGGAGTGGAGAGAGAAGAGCCAGAGCAGGAGGAGGACCCCAGGGGCCAGCAACCCAGGTACACAGCAAGCCACGGAGTAAGAAACAAAGAAAGGTATACAGGAATAGAAAAAGCCCAGAGGCAAAAGGTAGATGGGATAATTTAAAGTTAAGAAAAGCTGGCAAGAAACTAAACCAAGCTAAGGCCAGACATTCATAAGTAATAATAAGCCTCTGTGTATGGATTTATTTGGGAGCTGGGTGGCGGGCCCCCTAAAAAGGGTAAAATACCAACAACACTTCTTTTCTTTCTTTCTTCCTTCCTTTCTTTTTTTTTCTCTCTCTCTCTCTCTTTCTTTCTTTCTTTTTTCTTTTTGGTTTTTGGAGACGGGGTTTCCTTTGTATAGTCTTGGCTGTCCTGGCTAACTCTGTAGACGAGGCTGGCCTCAAACTCAGAGATCCACCTGCCTCTGTCTCCTGTAGTGCTGGGATTAAAGGCATGAGCCATCAAAAGGCTGAGACAAAGTCCTATATAGCCCATGCTAGCCTTGAATTTGTGATCCTTCTGCCTCAGCCTCCCAAGTGCTAGGATTACAAGCATGTGCCACCACATCCACCTTGAAAATACTGTGTTATCTGGGCAGTGGAGCTCACCTTTAATCCCAGCAGTTGGGAGGCAGAGGCAGGTGGATCTCTGAGTTCGAGGCCAGCCTGGTCTACAGAGTGAGTTCTAGGACAGCCAGGGCTACACAGAGAAACCAAGGCTACACAGAGGTCTTGAAAAATCTAAATAAATAAATAAAAGGTTAAATATGTATACAAGTAAAATGCTTAAAAGGGTCTCAGTTTTAGTTTCTAATATGGCACATGTCCACAGATAGCCTCTACCTAAACAGAATTTGTTTGGCATTTCACTCTGAGAACTTTACATACAACGCTCCTGAAATGAGACTTCCTGATGCCTATCCAAAGCCATAGAGGTGGAGGAGCATGCCCCTCCCACACTCCTCCTCTGCCTGGTCCTCTGGGTCCTGGAGCCCGCAGCTGAATTCTTGGGCAGCAGGGCTCTTCTCAATTCTACACTGGTCTTGCTGAAAAACAGAGCCTTGTCATGAGGCCCCCAAGGGCACCCAGCACCCAGCACCCACGTGGCCTACTTGCTTTGGGCTAGGCCTCATGCCATCCCTCCAGTGTGAGGCAAAGGGCAGGCTACCATCCCAGACCCTTCTGGGCCTGCCCTCTTGGCGCCTGGTGGGCGCTTCTCCTAGGATGTTCTCAGCCAACACAATAGAACACAAAACAACCCTCAGTGCCAGGCAGTGCCTGCTGGTGTGGATCCCATAATGAAGCAAACACCAGTTCCGTTGGCAAGGACCTAGAGCAGGGTCATGAAGCCAGGTGAGCGAAGAATAAGAGATGAGGGATGGCCAGCTGGAAGTATTTTCAGTGCAGCCACGGGTCGCAGGCAGATCCCCCAGGCTGCCAGCACCCAGGAGGTGGGAGCCCTTTCACATCCTCTGTTGCATACAGTAAAAGTGCTGTGACCTCTCAGAATGACAGACATCCATCTGGCTGGGAAGGAGGTCTCAGGGACAGGGGGAAGCAAAGGGACCCTCTGAAAGCCACCAAACATTTTATTTCTTAGGCTGGGGAATGAGCACAAGCATTTGTTAAATTGTTCCTCCTCTTGACACGCCTGAAATGTTTCATACTTTTTAAAGTTATAAGACAGAAGGGTGGGGTGGCAAGCAGAAGAATCTAGTTATCGGGAGGCTATGGTGACCGGCTTCATGATCACACTCAGGGCAAAATCAAAACAGGGGTAATACAAACCAGGAAACTTGGGGCCGGGCACCGGTGTGCTGCCAAATGTAACAATGGTCCAGTCCTGAGGCCCCGCCAGCCTGGATAAGCAGGGAAACCTGGACTCCTCCCTGTGTGGGCATGAGCCCACCAACCCACCCACCTCACGCAGCTCTCCCCACCTGCCAGTCTGTCACCCCACTTCCCCACCCCCTTTCTCTCTCGGTTCAGCCCTAGCTGGCCTTCAGTCTTCCTCCTTGGAATGGGTGCCCATTACCCCTGGGCTGTGGGCGGATGAAAACAAACATGTTCCCATCTCTGTCTTGGCAGGAAGCTGCAGCAGGCCAGAGGTAGACAGAATACTAATCTCTGCTCTAGCCTCCATGATCTGGATTTTTATCTCAGAAACCTCCTGAAGTTTTCACCAGCAGGGAGTTGGTTGGATTCTCTTGTTAGGGGCACTGAGAATCAAACCCAGGGTACTGTGCACAATCTTTGCTTTACCACAGGGAGCTCCACCCCTAAGACTTGCATGTGGCTTCTTTTCTTTCTTTCTTTTTTTTTTCTTTTTGGTTTTTCGAGACAGCGTTTCTCTGTGTAGCTTTGGAGCCTGTCCTGGAACTCACTCTGTAGACCAGGCTGGCCTCGAACTCACAGAGATCCGCCTGGCTCTGCCTACCGAGTGCTGGGATTAAAGGCGTGTGCCACCACTGCCCGGCTGCATCTGGTTTCTTAAATGGCCCCAAGAGATGAAGCCTTTGTCACTGAGCATTTCGGGGACAGACCAGATCCTTCCAGTGACTTGTCCCTCCTCTTCTCACAAAAGGGGGTGCAATAGCTGAGTTCTAAGACCCTTTCCCACTGGAAGACTCTGGAAGCTGGCTTAAAGTGGAGAAAGAAGGTCAGAGCAATTCTTCCGTGACTCAGCAATGTCTGGGTTAGAAAATGCTGAACTAGGAAGTATAAAGATGTCATCTCAGACCACCAGCATGACCCAGGGGTTCCCCCAAACTCTCACCCCCACATATGCGCAGAAGTGCTGGGAACAAGAAGAGGAGGAGGAGGGTGGCTGGAGGTGCTCCAGGTTGTAGCCAAGCACTTCCCCTGAACCCAGTCCAGTATTCATGCTACGGAAACGCGCTCAGGCTGGAGGCCATTTCCCACCCTGGCCCTCCTTGGAGAGATGCTTCCTCCACAAGTGGTCACCAAGGAAGTGTCCCTCCCTGGTCCCTTCCTATACTCGAGGAAAGCAATTCCCTGTCTTGCTCTGTTCCCTTTCCTAGGATACTCAAGGACTCCAGGATGCCTGGTCTATACAACTCAGGGCAATATGGACGAGTCCCCTGCTCCATCGGGTTACAGGAGCAAGCCCGACCTCATCCTGGCTCCACTCTACTGCTCCAAGGCTAGGCCTGCCTAGCCTCTGGGTTCATAGGCCTGAATAGGGAAAGCACCTCCAGATAGATGCTGGGCTTGATAGGCGGCTTGGAGTTACCCAAGGGAGCCTGTGGAGTAATACAGACACTTCGTATGTGGCTCTGAGGACACACTCCAGCCCTGTTGCCCAGCCCAGAGGACACAGAAGACCCAGGGTGCCAGAGTTCCTCTATCAAAGCTCAACTGTGAAGAGTATGGAGCTGTTTGGACGGGGGGTACAAACGCATTACTATCCATGGTGTTCTAAACATGGAGCAGGCATGTTAACGAGGGCTCCCAGTGCAGAGCCAGAGTGGGGTTCCAATGAGGCCTCTCTGCTGAACCCACCCTTTTTTTTTTTTTTAGGTCACTGCCTTTCTGCAAAGTCACTTCCTCCCAGATTCCTGCCAGGATAAGAGGGTGTCCCCACCTCAAACGCCCATACATACCCTGTTCCAGAAGCTAGCATGCCCAACAGCCACAGCTGACCAACATGTACAAAACCCGATGGGACGACCTCTGTGACTCAGCAATTTCTGAACTACGAAATGCTGAGTCAGTAGCGGGGTGCTTGCAAATCAGAAGGCTGCTGACACTTCACCCCAAAAGAGGAAGAAGGGCAGGGTGGCTGGCTGTGGACCCCTTGTTACAACCCATGCTGGATGGGGAAAGAGTGTGGCCTTGGCCTGACAACTCTTTGCCCACCAGCTACCACCACCGAGCAGTTATGGCTCTTCCATGGCCATGGTTGCCAGAGACCAGACTAGCTGGAAGATGAACCCCTGCTCTAGCTAACCTAGTGCCCGTCTCTCAAGGTAGCTCCACAGCTAGCCTGCCTCTGGCCAAGCAAGGCCATCAAGGAAAGAAAAGGCAGAGAATGGGTTGGAGGGAGGCCCCGGTGGCTGCCTGGAGTGGGGGCTGGGACCTTCCCCTGCTCTTTAGGAAACAGCTAGACACAGAGCCGGGGAGAGTGGACAGTAGCACACAGCCCTGCAGACCTAGAGGAGAAGCGGCATCTCCTTCCTCCCACTCCTTCTAGAAGAGGAAGCTGACGCCTAGTTGATTGCCATGCCTCGCACAGCTAGGCAGAGATCACCTCTACTTCCACAGGGCAGACTCTTAGCCAGCTGATCCCAGGCATGCCCTCCCTCCTCCCTGAAGCCAAAGCGCTTATCTCAAGTCTCAGCATCCAGCCTTGGGCCCTGGCAGTGCCTTCCAACCCAGAGGCAACGGGGCCAATAGGAAGTGTGGAGGAGGGCGTCCAGGAGGAAGGCTCTGAGCACAAACCAGCCGTCAGTGCTGGCTGTCCCAGCAAGGTCAGGAGTCCACAGGTGGCAGGCCTGAGAACTCCCAGCCAGGGCATCACACTGAACCTTCTTGGTGACCCCAGGACCTTGCTTGGCACGGCTTTGGTTTAGGAGCCATGCATGCCCTTTGATAGGACAGAAACACCTATGGCTCCTTCTCCACCTCAGGGTGGCACTCAGTGCATTCCGTGGCAATGAGTGTTTTTTTCCTTTTTTTGTTTTTTTTGTTGTTGTTGTTTTGTTGTTTTGTTTGGTTGGTTTTTTGGTTCTTTGTTTTGTTTTGTTTTTCCAAGACAGGGTTTCTCCGTGTAGCCCTGGCTGTCCTGGAACTCACTCTGTAGACCAGGCTGGCCTTGAACTCAGAGATCCGCCTGCCATCTGCCTCCCAAGTGCTGGGATTAAAGGGGAGTACCGCTGTGCCCAGTGTGAATTCGTTATTTTTAGTTACTCCATTTACGGATCTTTTGGCCAAGGATGTTAGTCATGGAATAAGATCATTGTATATTAAAATTTTATCCTTACCCATACTTCTCCCCATACATATTGTTTCATGCAGCTATTGTACAATCGGGTTAATGTTCTTAGCAGGAATTTTAATGCCTTTAGTATGCTAATCTGAATTTTACAACTCTCAAGAACCCAACCTCTCCTGAGTTCTAAGGATGGAACTCAGGTCCGCCAGGCTTTCAAGGCTGGGCCATCTTGTGACTGTTGTAACCCTGGACAAACTATTTACCCTAAGCCTCTCTTTTTCTAACGGTAAAATGGGCACAACGATGCCTACCTTCAGAGGGCTGATATACGGATTAGATGAAATAAGGGGAGTAGATTGCTTAGCACAGCATAAAGTATTAAATTATGCTAATTAAGTACAACTAATACATTTGGCCTTCACGCCACTTCTTTGGCACAGAGATTAAACGGCGTGACCAAAACTGCACATCAAGTACAGAGTACAGCTGAACAGTGGGCCTTCACCGCTGGTGCCTCCTGTCCCCTCCTTGGGAGATTAGCAAATTCCCACTGAGGATCCACAGCAGACGGACGCGGATGCAAAGGGAATGTCCACTAACACTAGATCCCACAGCACGGTCCTGGTCTCCGCTGAGGGCCTCTGGGGCCGGCTGATGGGCTTCCCCGCGAGCCCCCACTTAGTATAAGAGACGCGGGAATCCCGCAGAAGCGGTGTGTGTGTGTGTGTTGCCGGAGCGAGGGTGGCCAGGGAGTGGGCGCGCGGAGGACGTGGTAGTGGCCCCTGGGCGGAGGGTAGACCGACAGGGTGCCGGGACGCGACAACCCCAGCGCGGCAGAGCCGTGCAGACGACAGCGTCCGGCAGTCGGCACCCTAGGTCGCGCCACGTTCAGAAGGCACCAGGTCCCAGAGGCCCCGGCAATGCCCAGGAACCCGGGCCTGCGCTGCCACTGGCCTCTTTGGGGTAAACAACGCTCCCGCCCCAGGGACAGCGCCGCCCCAGCCGCCGCGGCGCAGCGGCTGACAGTTCCACCCCACCCCACCCCCTGCCCGCCCCGCGGCCCCCCGAGATACCTGCCAGACCCCCCATTGCCGCAGTCCCCGGCTGTCGGTAGACCACCGTCCAGACGAAGAAGATGGAGAAGCCGGCCACCGAGCTGAAGCCGGAGTAGGCGGCGCGGAGGCCGAGCTGCAGCCGGGACGGGGCCATGGGGCAGCGCGCGCGCGCGGGGCAGCGGCGGAGGAGCAGCGTCGCCGAGTCACAGGTGCAGCAGGGCCCGAGCTGGAGCCCCAGCCCCAGCCCCAGCCCGAGCCCGAGCCTGAGCCGCCGGCGCCCGGCGCTCCGCCCCCAGCCCGCCCCCCGGTGCCGCCGGCACAGCGCCCTCCCCGGCCGGAGGCCGCTCGCGACACAAGCTTGACCCGGCCACCGCGGCTTGGCAAAGGCCGGCGACCCCTGGTGGAAGAGCAGGGTCCTGAGCTCATCCCCAGACCCCAGCTACCTAGCGGGTCCTTGGCGGGCCTGGAAATAAGGCTTTACCCGAGCCAGCTGCAATGGTTACTTTTTAAATTCTAAAATAGGTTTTGAAATCTTTTGAGATAGGGTCCCTCTACGGAGCCTTGGCTGTCTTGGAATTCTCTATGTAGACCAGGCTGGCTTGGAACTCACAGAGACCCCCCCCTGCCTCTGCCTCCTGAGTTCTGAGATTAAATTTTGAATGGGAAACTCAACAGCATATAAGATTTAAGATTAAAATTTCTAGTTGCGACTGTAGAAACTAGCCAGGTATACTGGCACATGCCTTTAAACCGGCAGGAGCAGAGGCAGAGAGGCAGGCAGATCTCTGTGAGTTCGAGGGCAGCTAGAGCTAGACAATGAGATCCAGTCACAAACCCAAAACAAACAACAAGGAAAAAACATCAGCTGGGTGTGATGGCCCATACATATAATCCGGGCACTTGGGGAAAAAAGTGACCAAGGCAAGGGAAACTCTGTCGGGGATGGGTGGGTGGGGGCCGGGGGCACAAAACCAACCTGGACAGCTGGTTTGATTCCCTGGCTGCCCCTAAATTAATAAGTAAAATTTAAAAAAAAAAACCTAAATTCTTTCCACGAACTAGGAGGTGGTGGTGCACGCCTTTAATCCCAGCACTCAAGAGGCAGAGGCAGGTGGATCTCTGGGCATTCTGGGAGTTCAAGGCCAGCCTGGTCTATAGAATGAGTTCTAGGACAGCCAGAGATACACAGAAAAACCCTGTCTCAAACAAAACAAAACAAAACAAAAAATTCTTTCTACCCATATTCCTAAGCCGTGAGTCCTCTCCCCGAAGAGTCACATACATCACACAAGATTGCTCCACACGCTCGTCACTTTTCCCTTTCGTCTTCACAACTTTCACTCCCAAATTCCTTGCGAGCTTGTCTTGGCCTCTGCAGGGCATCCATGGCAGAATTCCACGGTTCCCACTAGCCCAGCTTCATAAATGTGTACTGCTAACAGGAAAAGTCAAAGCAGAAGCCGCGCTCTGCACCCCAGGACCCAGAATCCTCTGGCGGGTCCAACCACACTCCCACATCCCCCTCAGTGTAAGAAACTAGAATTCCTTGCAAACATTTCCTCTCACTGCAACAGTTACTACAAACGTTGTGGTCTAAAGCAACACAAATGTATTACAGACCAGAGGTCAAGGGTCCAAAGAGAAGTGTCATTGTACTAAAAGTAAGGAGACTCCAGAGCAGCCTCCCCAGGGAGGTGGCAGGGAGCAGCTGTTTGCCTGCTATTCCAGCTTCTGGGCAGTGCAGACACGCTGAGACTCCCTGTCCTCTCCCCCTCCCTCTTGCTGAGACTCCCTGCCCTCCCCCCCCCCCCCCCCCCCCCCGCCCTTTCTCTTGTAAGGACAACAGTAATCCAAGCTAATCTCTCCATCTCAAGATCCTTAATTTCCTCACTTCAGCAAAACTCCTGCAAGGTACTCCCTGCTCGCAGGAGCTTGTAGGGACTCAGATGCGGACGTCTTCAGGACTGCTGTTCTGCCTGATTCGCCCTTCTAGAATATCAAGTCCATGACCAGCAGTGGTGCCAGTTTCATGGGCACCAACACCTAGCAGAGTGTCCCAAACCCCCTTAATAAACATCTGTTGAACAGATCCCTCTGAATGACTTAGGTGAGCAGTAAAGAACAAGGAAGTGTATCACACTCAAGCAGCCCAAGTAGGAATGATCAGTGGCTAAGCAAGTGGTATAAGCCACATTTGCCTGACTCCAAAATAATCTGGGGCCGGGCAGTAGTGTCACACGCCTTTAATCCCAGCACTTGGGAGGCAGAGGCAGGTGGATCTTTGTGAGTTCAAGGCCAGCCTGGGCTACAGAGTGAGTTCCAGGAAAGGTGCAAAGCTACACAGAGAAACCCTGTCTCGAAAAACCAATATATATATATATATATATATATATATATATATGTATGTATGTATCCAAACTAATCCAGTGCCCTTCTTGCTTACTCAAATTTCAATGTTGAAGTGCTTTTGTTTGTTTTGATTGATTGGTTTAGGTGCCTTTTGAATTTTGAGACAAGGTCTCACTATACAGACGAGGCTGGATTTGACATTGCTTTGTCAGCCTAGGCTGGCTTCAAAGTCAAAACCTCCAGCCCAGCCGCCGGGGTACTAGAATTACAGCGTGAGCCACCACACCTGGCTTGAAGTATTTTTTTAACAAGGAATGGTTTTGATGCACAAGTTCATTTCGACCCTCTTGTGGGCGGCAGGTGGAGATGAAGTGCTCGTTGCTCAGAGGAATGGAGCCTAGAAGTCCAGAGCGCTGCTGTAGATGGCCACGGGGCTAGCCGGGATGGACAATATCCTGGGAATTAGGAGCAGTCTGCATGAAGACAGCCCTGAGGGAAGCATGCACAGTGGAATGTTCTGAAAGCAGTAACAGGTTTTTTGTTTTGTTTTGGTTTGTTTTGCTTGTAGCTGGACTGTTGGATTTGAAGGGGAGTGGTGGATTTTGAGCTTGGAGACTGAATATGCAGAGCCTTGCAACATTGCCTCCCTTCCCACGGCCTGGAGTAACTGTGTTCTAGAAATATGGCCTGGTGGTACTGTGAAGAGGGCCTGCCTGAGAAAGCCTGGAAGCAGAAAGATCAGTGGGATATGTTCTTCCCACTTCAGTACAATGGTTACTGGGTCTGTGAAATGGAGACAGACAGCCGCCATACCCACTTCAAAGAGTTCTGAGGAGCAGTCGGCGCTTGGCCAACTGCCTGGCACACCGTGGGTTCTCAGGAAAAGCCAGGAAGCGTAATTAGTAGCAGCCAAAAGTGGCCCTGGCAAGAGCTGGTTCGGGCAGAGAAGAAGGGAAAGAAGGAACCGATTCTAGAAATAGTTAAGTCACTTTAACCTAGAAGATCGGGTGTTAATTCATTTGCATGGTAGGCAGGAACGAGGAGGGCGAAAGTCCTGTGAGTGTCGGAAGGTGGTGAGTAGCTTGTATGGAGAGTGAAGTTTTGCAAGACAATAATAAGATGATTATGTAACAGTGGCCTGGGCCCAGGCTGTACAAAGGGGGCAAAGCTCGGCTGAAGTGTATATGTATATAGCGAAATGTGGGGAAAGAAAGGGGCTATTAAAAGACTGGAGACGCTAGACTCAGGGTCTAGGTCCTCCTCATAACTCAAAGCTACCCAAAATAACTCTCTGCCGCACAGAAAATAAGTCTCTATCTGTGCTGTGCAGTGGGGGCCCCTAGTGACATGTTGCCTTTGAGTGTGTGATATACGGCTAGTGTGACCGCTGAGCTTCCACTTACGTCTAAGTTTAAGTAAAATAGCTGCACATGGCAAAGGGGTCACAGCATGAGACAACACAGCTTGAAATGCTCAGGACTCCTGTTGCTCCATGCTTCTAGAGGGAAGGACGATGACCCTTCCTGGGTCTGTCATCAACACTCACGTGAAGGAGCTCAACACAGTAATGTACGAGCAAGTCACTAATGCTGTGGCAGGGACTGTCTGTTGTCACTGTTAGAAAAGGGTCACAAGACATGAGCTACGCCTCAAGGAGACGAGTTAGACTGTCACGTCTAGATTACAAAAAGCTTCTTGCAGAAGAGGCCCACCGGCACAGTTATTTCTAGTGGTGTGCCAGCTGGTTTTATGTCAACGTGACACAAGCTAGAGCTATCTGCAAGGATGGGACTCAATTGAGAAAATGCCTCCATGAGATCCACCTGTAGGGCAATTTCTTAATTAATGATTACGGGTGGAGGACCCAGCCCATGGTGGGTGGTACCATTCCAGGGCTGGTGGTCCTGAGTTCTGTAAGAAAGCAGGCTGAGCAAGCCATAACGAGCAAGTCGGTAAGCAGCACCCCTCCATGGCCTCTGCATCAGCTCCTGCCTCCAGGTTTTGGTACTGTCTTTAGTTCCTGTCCTGACTTTGTTCAGTGATGAACAGTGATGTATAATTGGAAGTCAAATAAACCCTTTTCTGCCCGAATTTTTGGTCATGGTGTTTCATCCTAGCAATAGTAACCCTAACTAAGACAAGCAGTGAAGTGTAGGATAATTGAGATCTTCTCTGGAGAGGAAGGAAGGAAGGCCTGTGGAACCTCAAAGCACATGGGTAACACACACACACACACACACACACACACACACACACACACAGTCTTCCCACATCAGCTTCTTTCTGTGTCATTCAGAGAGCAGACGCCCATCCCAACCAGGACAGATAACCTGGTCCCCCTTAAGACAGTTACTCTCCTTGTCTACAGCAGAGACCACCAATACCCAAATGCCTCTTCAGGGCACATCACCTACTCTTTAATCCCAGAACTGATACAGAAATGATGAAAAACGCCGGGTGGTGGTGGTGAACGCCTTTACTCGGGAGGCAGAGCCAGGTGGATCTCTGTGAGTTCAAGGCCAGCCTGGTCTACAGAGTGAGTTCCAGGAAAGGCACAAAGCTACACAGAGAAACCCTGTCTCAAAAAACCAAAAAAAAAAAAAAAAAAAAAAAAAAAAGAAGTGATGAAAAAGAGGTAGATTTAATCCAAAAAAACAACTGTTAATCTTGTATATTTTACAGAAGTATGGATTTTAGTTTATTGAATCAAACTTAAAGTTAATTTTGTTATACTGTATGGATATTTCTACTCTTCTTTAAGATATTATGTTTATGCAGTTCATTTTAAAATGTAATATATAGTTAAAAAATACAAATTAAGGGTTGGGGATTTAGCTCAGTGGTAGAGTGCTTGCCTAGCAAGCACAAGGTCCTGGGTTCGGTCCTTAGCTCCGGAAAAAAAAAAACCCACAAATTAATAGTC